TGTCTTGTAGCAAAGAAGCATATAGAAAGCAAAGAGTTTATGTGGTGAAATGAAAGACTCACGTAAAGGCCCATGGCTCGTAAACAATGAAATTATACACTATCTTAACAGAAAGGCATCTTGCCAAAGTTTGAAAGCATAAGCTATTCCTAAAATGGTGTTGCGCTTCTATACTGGAACTATCATCTGGCAGCCACAGTGACATAAATGGATGGAGTGCTGGGAACTAGGAACATTCACTCAGAAGAGAAACTTTATTATTGTTGTATATTTCCTTTTCCCCTCCCTCCCCCTCTCCCTGTCTCCCTTCCTTTAGATGCCCAGACCAAAAATCCTTTTGAATAGCTTTAAAAAGCTGCATATACAGACTACAGCTTATTACGGGACCCATCCTTGGGAACATTGACCTTTTCGGTAAAGTGAATTCACATGGAAAAACATCCAGACTTTGTTTTACTAGGAAAACAAAGGATGGCATCTGAGCCTTCCTGCCTTAGCTAGTTGTCTCCAAGTTTAACAAAAATGCTTTATAAAATGGATATGAAAGATCTTGGCTACTTTTAGACAATCCCTCTGAAGATGGATTCAGATCTAGGGCAAACCTGTACTGCGATGGAAAATAGGGAAGGGTACCTCATTATTCCCAAAAACTTCAGGAAATTTTTCAGTTTTTGGCACTAGTCGGTGACCTGTGGGCAAAGAGCTAATTTGAAACTCCTCTGCCCACAAAGCAGCAATGTGATTAAGAGGGAGATGGTAGGTAGGAGAGGGCAGGGCAGTGTTCCAAGAAGGATAAAGAACTCGAGAAGGTGGACTGACAGACAGGCCAATGGAACAGCGCCCACCAGAAAGCTCTCCTAGAGCTCAGCAATAGCTGAAAATAGGGACATTTGGCATTTCCTAGGGTTTGTGTGGCAGCTAAATAGAGCAGAAAGCTGGCAGCTATGTGGACAAGGACAGCTATAGCTTGTGTCTGACGGGTGCTAGTCCAAATAGGAGCTGGGTATATAGAAAGTTGGTCACCATTTACTCGTTTTAAAACAGAGTTCTTATAGTGTTTGTATTGTCATATTTTGTTTCTTTTTAATTTCTTCTCTCAATATGTTCACGTTTTTATTACATAATTATTTCAACTCTCCTCTTCATTTCACAGATCTATGTTTTCTTGAATTTTATTGAACACACAGCAGATGCTCCCTAAAATTTACTTTTGTTTCCATTAGTGAATTTTCTTTTCAAAAGTGAGTTCTTTCTCTGCATTTTGGGTGCTGTATTCTTTGCTTGCTTTATTGCTGAATCTTTTTGTAGATTTTTTTTTTCTGTTTAGTCATCCATGAACAAAAAGAGGTGAATGTTGATTAGGTGTTTTCCATAAACACAGTGAGTGTGTTGTCCTAAGTTCCCTTCGTGTCAGCCAAGGTAGAATCTTCTTGGTAGAATTGGTAGAATCTTCTACTCATCTTGTAAGCTAGAAAGATGGGAGTAGATGTGAATTTCTGGTACCTCTTATGCATCCTAAAGGTACTCTATTCTGTGTCATTTCTTCTCTGAGTTTGTTGAAGCCACTGGGCTAAGGGTTTACTTCTGTTTACAGCTTTCTGTCAGGTCAGACCTTCATACGGGACACATCACTGTGGCTGTGCCTAATGTCAGTCTGGCACTACTGGTGACTTTAGCAGGGGAAAGCCGCACACTGCTGATTTCCTGCTAACTGTGGCGCTAAGCCTGGGACTTTCCAGGGGAGATGATTTTCAGGGCTGCTGATCTGAACTGCTGAGTGGGATTCCAAGTGATGCTTCCTCTGGGAGCACCTCTCCTGGTCTAGCCTGGAGTTCTGGCTACCAGATGGCAAGACGATATGATGCTCTTCATGACTTGATTCCCCTGATATTGTGCTTTCTCAGGAGTAGGAATTGTTAATGATAGTGGATATAAAGTAATATTCTGTATAATGTTCTTAATAATTTCAATTGTTTTTTGGCTGATTATAATTAATTTTTAGTTCATAAAAGTGACATAGGAAGCATTTATACTAGGAATAGGATTTGTCTTAGGAAAGGAGCGTCAGTCATTTTCGTGTTTAGTTGTCTTTGTATAATTAGCATTTTAGACTACTTGTCTATTTTGTAAGGGTTGGCCTAGTTAAATCTAGGTCATAAATCCACAATCCACTTAATTGGAGATCTATGAATCTACCCCTTTTGAAAGACCACTGTCCTAGAGTATTCGTTAAAGTTTTTTGTTTCTGTTTTCTGGAAGAGTATATTAATGGTGAAATTTTGGACTTGCCCATACCTGAGAATATATTTGTTGTCTTCACATGTACATGGTAATTCTACTAAATATAGATATAGATATTTTGAATTATATCATATTCGTCTCAAAAACTGGTATTGTTGTTAAATTACTTTCTGGTATTTAACATGGTAGAAGTCTATGGCCAGCTTGAAATTTTGTTGCTTTGTAAGTAATCTATTTTATTTTCTCAAACATTTTCAAGTTCTTTTCTTTATTCTTTGAAATAAAAAATTACAACAGCGTATGTTGGATGTTTTTGTTTATTTTTTTTCTGGTTTTATTTGATCCCTTTTCATCTGCTTATAAAGGTTTTTCTTCACTCTAGGAACACTTCTTTGCTTAAAGCTGCTTCCATTTGTTTCTTTCGAATGGAAGCCTTATTATCGGTAGGATCACCTGGTTCTTACTTCTATTAGTCTTGTATTTTCCCTCATCATGTTTTACGTTTCGCCCTTACTTCTTAGGTTTTGAGAATGGTGATGGATCCTATTAGAGATTCATGTCACGTCCTGGTAGAATCTTTAAACCCCTAATGATGGGAGAAACATAAAAAACATTTAAATTTACCCCCGTTTTACTTTGTCAGTTGAGAGTCCAAACGGTCTAGCGGGTATTTGGGCCCCTGGAGGTGAGAGTCAAAATTAGAGGCAGACTTAGCCAGGAATGTGTTCTGCTCAAGAGCTTCCATTCCTTATTTGGACCAGCTCTCAGGGCTCGCTGCTGCAGTCTCCCCATTCTTTGGCAGGCTGGCTGTCCACTGTGTGCGAGTGACTGTTGAGCCCTTCCGTGCCAACTGCCAGTCCTGTTGCTGCCTCTGAAACCCAGAACACTTCCTAGTGCTGCTAATGGGAGCCACGAGGCTGACCCTCACCTCCAAGCCTGCAGAGAGGCCTCTGCTGATTTCCTTTGTATATTTCTCTTTTGCATGTTGGAGATTCACAAGTCAGGTGTGACTGCCCTCAATCTGATTTCCCCTGTCTTTTACATCATTGAAATTCCTGGAGAATTTCTTATATATGGCTGACCCTCTTGCCTACTTTTTAAGGTCGATCCAGAGTTTTTCCTCATTCTCTATTGCTGATCATTTTTGCCTAGATCTGGAGGGGAGTGGTTTATACCTTGCCAAGGAGTCGACCTATTCTCTCTTATGAATGCAAGTCTGAGGATGTTTTGAAGTCAGGAAGGTGGGAACAGCCTTGGGAAATGGAAACTTGATAATAATCTCAAGTATCCTGCTAGAATGTTTCTTATCTGGTTACCTCTGATGATCAAGATCACTAAATAACCACAAAGACAATAATGATAACAATTGCCTTTTTAAAAAACAACTGGGAAAAAGAGGATGTTGGTCCAAGAGTACAACCTTCCAGTTATAAGATGAATAAGTTTTGGGTATCTAATGTACAACATGGTGATTATAATTAGCAAGTATTAATTTCAAGTATTGTACACTTGAAAGTTGTGAAGAGAGTAAATCTTAAACGTTCTCACCACACATATGAAAAATTGTGATTGTGTGAGGTGATGGATATGTTAACTAACCTTATTATAGTAATCATTTTGCAAAATATATGTGTATCAAATCATCATGTTGTACACCTTAAACTTACACAATATTATATATCAATTATATTTCTGTAAAGTTGGAGGAAAAAAACCCACATGATGGATGTGGCTATATCAGTATCAATTTGATTTAATCTTTATATCAACCTAGGAAATTTGGTGGTTGGATCTCTACTTTCTAGCTGATACAGAGAAGTTTAATAACTTGCCAGGTATTGCATAGCTAATGCATTGTGAAGTGGGATTCACACCCAAAGTTATCCTCAAAGTTTTTGCTCTTTTCTTTGCTGGTTGTCAGACAGCCCAAAGAGTTGTCCAATCTCCAAATCTCTGTGGTATTTACAGTGTTCCCAGTTATTGGACTTTAATCGTCTGTTGGCATTTTATCGCTTTCATATATATTACATCCTTCTCTGTGGGGATAATGTTGATATAAATAAGAGGAGAGCATGTTTTACCATTTTTTTGTACTCTCTGGAACTCTTGACTAGCAATGGAGAAGAGCTTGTCCTCAGTACCTTGGTTTGTCATTCTTCCTCATTTTTTTAAAAAAATTAAGGTATTTATCTGCTTCTAGGGGAATTCCTTCTGTCCAGTAAAATAGTTTGCCTTCGTGTATCCCTTATGTAGCCCTCTGTGGTGATTTTGGTGGTCTAAACCTCCTCACCTGTCTTGGAACACCCGTGAGCCATGAGGCTGCTCTTCTCTATGGTCACTGCTGCTGAGCCAAGTACCTTCAACAGCAGAATGTCGGGTGGTGTTTGGTGATGCTGTTGCTGGCCATGCTTTACTACATCCAATTAGAACAAAAAAATTAAATCATAGAAGAAGCAAAATCCCTGGCAATTTAGAGAACTCTTAGAAAGATCAAAGGTAGCTAGAAAGTGTTGGGGGTGGTTAGTGCCTGGTGGATGAGAACATATTTGTTCTTGCTTCACAATGGCAAAAATGTATGCATTTATTCTATAACTTGTTCCTTTGAGAAATACTGGTCAACTCCATCATTAGATTTATATTTTCGTTTCAGATATATTGGAATAAATAAAAACAGTCAATGGCTGTAAAATGTGTCACTACAATTGTAGGATTATTCTTTGTTTTCTCTATTGCAATTGAATCCTATCTTTTTTCCCTAGGTTACGGTCTTTGGTCAAACAATTAGAGAGAGGGGAGGCTTCAGTGGTAGATCTTAAGAAGAATTTGGAATATGCAGCCACAGTGCTTGAATCTGTGTACATCGATGAAACCAGGTAAGCTAAAAATGACAAGAAGTCAGTGCAGTGATGGTAAATTTTCTGTTATATGGCTTTTCTGAAATGTCCCCATGGCACGTATGGGGTAGCATTCAAATGACTGGTCTAGGAGCTTGTTTCCACAGCCAAATGGGGTAGATTTGGACATTACATATCCTCTGTACCTCCTTATCTATGAAAGAGTATAAAGATAAGTTAATAGAACTTATCTTACATGGGCGTTTTGACAATGAAGTGAGACAATGTAAGAGGAGAAAGAGTAATTTTTTAAAATCTTGTAAGATTTTAATCAAATGTAGAGTTCCACTGTAATTATTGCATGTTGTTAGCCTCAGTCTATACATTATGTTCATGTTTTAATTCACAATATCTATCTGTAAATGGAGGCTCCTGAAGAGACAAATGGAGAAGCATTTGTCCTCTTAAGCACCCAGTGTTCCTCCTTCAATCTTAGATATGGTACGGATTTTCTTAGCAGACTCTTTCCACTTGAATTATCTAAAGTATTAAAGCATTTCCAGTTACTGAATGCATCTGAAAGTAACAAAATTTACTTTTGAAAAATGTTGAAATAGTGTACATGAAAGGCGTTTCTTCTTTTTTCTTGTTCAGACAGGCTCTTCTGTCAGTATTTGTGATGTCTGACTTTTCTATGTCAAATTCCAATCTGAAAGGATTTCCCGGTAATCTGAGAAATGTGTGGCTTAGTTTTTGGTGACGTGCTTGGTTCCTTATTTAAGAATATTTGATATCATGGTTTTTTCCCAAACGTTACGTTTTCTCCTCTCCCCCCCCCCCCAATTCATGTGTTTAAAGGAAAAAAAGAACCAAACTTTTTCGTTGACACCTGTTTTTATTGCTTATTTTTAGTAGACCTTAATATACGTATAAAATACAATTTTAAGTCTTATTGTAACTTATTACTATTTATGTTTTGTTCTCGTTTTCTGATCTATGAACAAGTTTGAAAAATTAGCTAAGCACACCTGACAGGTGACTGAAATCACTGTGCTCAAATAAAGAACTGCGTTATTTTAGAATTTTTGCTTGAATTTAGACATTTAAATTTCTGTAACGTCCTATCAAACTAGAAGGTATGTCAGTTGCCATCAATTGGGTTCATTACTTCAGGGGAGTGGGTTGATGTGATTTGGGCGATCCTTTGCCAAGTCTTTATTTCTTTTTCTTTTTCTTTTTAACTTATTTTTATTAAGATATAATTGACGTATAACACTGTGTAAGTTTAAAGCATATAAAGCGTTGACTTTATGCATTTATATATTGCAATATGATTACCATCATTGCGTTAGCTAACACCTCTATCATGTCACATTATTATTATTTTTTTTGCGATAGGAACAAACTAGTCTTTTAGCAGCTTTGAAGTTTATAATACAGTATTGTTGTCTATAGCAAAGTCTTTAAATGTTTTTTTTTTAAAAAAAAACAAAATAATGCCACATGGTCTATCTATGAAGTAAACATCCCTGTGAATGCATTTTTAAATGTTAGGTGCAGAATCCATTCAAATTCCACAAACCTTCTAGGAATAAAGATACTGGGTACTCCTGAGTGCAATGGTTCTGAGACCCACAGAGCCTGAGGAGTGTATTTGACTTTCCCTGACTCCATTGTTCCCTTGTCCAGTCTGGTAGAGAGAGCCATCCTGAAACATAAATGATGGGAAAGACCATTCTGGAACACAAATGATGTGCTTTCACAAGCTTACCAAAAAGGTGCTGTATTTTTTGTGGCCAGTTTAATTTGGTTTCCTTGTGCCTGTGTATGCAGGTCGGGTGGAGAGAAAGAGCAGCTGTTTTGAACAGAAAGTTCTAACTTCAGATTTAATCTCAGTGTCCTGATTGTGTTTCTTGTGTTCAGGCGACTCCTGGATACAGAGGATGAGCTCAGTGACATTCAGTCAGATGCGGTGCCTTCTGAGGTCCGAGACTGGCTGGCCTCCACCTTCACGCGGCAGATGGGGATGATGCTCAGAAGGAGTGAGGAGAAGCCGCGGTTCAAGAGCATCGTCCATGCAGTACAGGCTGGGATATTTGTGGAGAGGTAAAGAGAGCTGTCATTCAATGACCAAAGCAGCAAAGGACCACCAGTTTGCAATAAATAGAAGCTTTGCTTTGATGTGTTCTGGTATCTTTACAAATACTGTAAATTCTGAGTGGAAACAGATAGTCTTGAATGAGAGATGACGAAAACATATCTATTTTAATCTCTATAGCATCATTAGGACAAGCTTTTGCTTTTGCTCAGAATTCTTTTTGTTAACTAGAGAAGATTTAATGAGTTCAGTCTCTAATTTTTAAAGAAGGACATCATCTAATCCATCCTCCTTTGAAGTATGTGGATGGTACCTGCATTTGTAACGGGTTAGGCTGCCTTGAGGTCGTTGACCCAGAGAGGACAGTTTACTTAAGGGGTGTGAGTTCTTCACAACATTTTCCAATTTTGTTAGCCATTTTGCGCATTGAAATTGATTTGCTTCGCTTCCCCAGAAATAGATTCCAGAAATCGATGTATTCTTTCTATAATCCTTCTTGCACAAATTGATTTATTCTTCCTTTGACCCTTATTGCACCATTATGGCTTTTCGAAGGGCCATAGTCAGTTCAAAGTTCACCTGGGACATTTTTCATCTTGTTTTTGACGGTTCTGACGAACAAGCTCTTCTCAATGGGTTGCCCATAGGCGTTCTCCGTTGAGGTTAAAGTGCTCCTGTGCATGGTGTCCGTGCTGTGCTGTAATTCACTTCTGCTGGAAGAGGTGGTACACTTTAGTAATTTAATTTCCACTGTGGGGCACATAGATTAATTTTTGTTTGTTTGTATCCAACAGTTCCTTAGTTTAGGACTGCTTTAATTTCTTTAGAATTTAAAACAGGCCACTTCAGAGCCTATGAAAAAGGATATAAAAGAAATTTTAAGTTTCTTGGGTCCCCAGACAACATGACTTCTCATTGTTTGTCACTACTTGGTATAAGTCTGTGGCCTGCTCATTCTTCTTTGTAAGATATAATATGGCATTTTTCCCCTCTGACTTTGCCAGAATGTATAGACGGACATCAAACATGGTTGGACTGAGCTACCCAGCAGCTGTTATTGAAGCATTAAAGGTAATACCCATGAAAAGATCTCACAATGTACACGCTACCCCATAGACAGTTTAGTTAAATTTGTTGTTAGAAAATAAGAGCCTTTTATTTACAGCTCATTTATGGGTTTCCCAGTCATTCCTGACTTTTCTCTTTCATTATCTTTTACTTACTTATTCTAACAATATCACTATCTTTTTCACCTTCGTCTTGCTAGTTTTTTAAAAGTCAAGCTCTGTGAGGATTTCATTTCGTTCTACTCCCTTGGAGCAGTTTAGTGATCTGTGCAGTGATCTGGCCTATGAGACTCAGTTTGACTTTGGCCATAGGAGATCAAATTTGTTCTGGTTGTAAATATTCGACATCAGGAGGATCTTTGGTGATCATAACTGTGTCATTATCTGATTACCTACTCTATGTCCATTTTATAGAAGAAGAAACTAAGACTCAGCAAGATTAAAAAAAAGGACACAGTTAATTAGAGACAGAGCTAAGGTTTGATGCCAGAGTTCCAGGCACATAGGCAGCTCTCAGTAACATGTTACAACATCAATGGATGCCCCAGAGCCCATGGTCTCTCCGTATCTCCTACTGTTTTCCTGAGACTCACTGAGCCCAGAAGTTCTATGGGAAGTCATGCATATATTTGAGTTTAAATGGGCTAAATCCTGCAGAATTAATCCCAATCAGGCAAACTCTCGGATTATCTAGAATGTCTCTAAGCGCCCCAAAGCAGATGTATTCCTCTAGGTGTGTGTTGATTCAGATCTGCTGGGCTGAGGGGGTCCCGGCTATGCTGAACTGACTTGGCTTTTGGATTTGAGGGGGGTACTACGCTAATATCCAGGATCACTATGCTGGTTGACATTGTGTGGTACCTACACATGGAGTCACGTCCATTTGCTCAGGGATGTCCCACCATTCTGACTATTGTTAAAACTATTACTGTCTTTGAAACCTGAAAAATGTACTATGTGATGATATTTTCAGAAGAGAACCTAAATTACCTATTCATGAATCAGGGGTGAGAGTGCTTCTTGATTAATTTAATGTCAAGAAAGAGTTCTATAGGGTCATGTTGATTGTATATTTCATAGTCCCTTTCTCTCGTCTCAGAGACATTCACTCACTGAATTTGTGAGATCCTATATATTCAGATTCTCGGTTCTCCATTTTCTGTCTCTTCTTAACTCATTTTAAGAACAAGAAGGATACTCAAGAAGAGTATTGCAAGAAGACACGTTTTCTCTCCCTCCTCTTTACCCCCACTCTAATGCCCAATACCTCAGTGTAATTTACTGTGATATTTCCCACTTAATCAGTGAAATCACTTCATGAGATCCAATGTTTCATAACATCTGCTACGAAGTTACGTTGATTTTTCTAACTGAACCTGAAACATTCAGTGAAAGTCTTAGGAACATTAAAAACATCTTTTATCTGTAATTTCTTCCTTTATTCTGAACATAAATACAGGTGGTTGTACCTGTACTAAGAAATTTATGAAAATATTTCCAAATTAGAGCATCTTTTCTATGCAGAATAACTGAAGAAAATGTGGAACACCTTGTGATGTGCATGAATTGTTATTTTATGCTTAGGGAAAAGTAATTCTCAGATGCACACATGTTGTCTTTCCGAGGGGAAAGTTACCTAGCGACTCAGACGAAGAGTAAGTACTCACTCTCTGAATTACCACCCTTCTCCACCAGTATTGCTGATACGTGCAAAAGGCTAAAGCTGCTATTTCTCTTGGTCCTGTCCCGTGTTTACTGGGCAAGTTTAAGGCCTTTATACAATGTAATATTTTTCCTCCTCCCTAGACTCTGGTTTTATTTGCAGTGAGTTGGAGGTGAGTTGGAGAGATCACACAGATAAATTCTTTTTTTTTTCTTTTTTTTATGTAGTACCTGTTCGAAAAAGGTTATTTCCACTTCACTGCCTGCAGTGTATATGGAACCACTATTGTTTTCTTCTATTGCAGAAAGTTTCCCCAAAGGCGGAGAGAGTACAATTCAATAAAATAGCCAACATGCTAGTGTTGTGTTAACCTTTGTGATTAATGTAAGAATGTGGCATAAAATTGCATTTAAGTAAGAGAATAATTGACCACTGCCAATCTCTAAATATGAGATAGGTTGCATTTTTGTTCTTTTTATTTTTTCCATGTGATATATGCTAGCTTCTCATTTGGGATGTTTTCTCTCTAATCTTCTGGGGTGGGGGTTATTGGAAATGGAGAAGTGTGCTGTTCTTTAGAAGGGCATCTGCTGGGTGACTCAGGAAGAGACACCGTGGGTGGACTCCAGGTTTAAAGTGGGAGGAAATGAGGAGGTTCCAGGCTTCCTTTAGGTTAGACTAATAGGAAGTTCATGCAGTTTCTTCATGGGAATGGTCCTTGGTCTGAGTTTGTAAAAGAAGAAGAAAAGTTTAAGGCAGTTAAATTAGGTGCTTGTTAAGATGCAGATTCCAGACCCCACACCAGGATTCTGCAGAGTCCTCCACCGGAGGATGAGCATTTTTTCCAAGCATCCCAGGTAGTTCTGAAGAAGACTAAAATTTGAGAATCACAGCTAAGTCCTCCCAAAAATAAGGGGCTGGAGAAGACACCCATCTTACTGTCTCTGTGGGAGTAACTATTTATAGATAAATAAGACTTTGAACTTCAAGAAGGAGTGTAAAGAGTGTGTTCAGCTTAGCTCTTAGTTTTACTTTTTTCAGTGAAATAACTTACAGATTTTAGGACCACGTCCGCAGATCAGTGATTCCAGAAGTGGTAGCTTTTTTCTGTCCTGTGAAATGAAAGCTTTCTCCTTGGTTTCAGCTCAGCGGTTTGGATTGAAGTAACACATTATTTTGTATTCTCTATCATGCATGTTTCTGAAACTTTTACGTGGGTTAACATTCTGAACTGTGGACTAAGAGGAAGTTAGTATCAAGGGCCTGGGGAGAAGTTTAGAGTAAGGAAGCAGCCTTGGTTGTTGTGAAGTGAATTGAATATTTGAAATTTGGCGGAAGTAGTTGAAGGGCTTAATGGAAAGAGCCTGAGTTTACGCATCTGTTGAACGTGTGTGTGTGTTCTGGGCCCACTTGTGTCCCTAGCACTTAGTTGCCATGTGTCTTAGGGAAACTAGGTAACTTCTCAGTTTTCTCATCTGTAGAATGTAACTTATAATACCCATCACTAAGAGTTGGTTTTAGGGTAAATTCCATATTTATCACTGATCACAATGCCTAGAGCATATGGTAGGCACTCATTAAATTATAGCTGTTTTTAATGATAATAAGACTATTTAATATTTTATCAGTAAATGCTAGGTAGGACTGCCAGATTGGAAAAGTTTGAGAGTGGAAAGGGTGTTAGAGTCTTAGGCTTTGAAATCCCAGGTGAGGGCTGCAGGCTAGCACCAAAGTAGGGAGGTTGGTAGCTGTGTAAGTGACTGTGGACTAATGCATTCTTTCTCTATGTTCTGTCCTGCAGGATGTGGACAAGTGGTCCTTTGATGTCTTTTCCCTCAATGAAGCCAGCGGGGATCATGCACTGAAATTCATTTTCTATGAATTACTCACACGCTATGATTTGATCAGCCGTTTCAAGGTCAGTGCCTAATTAAAAAAAAAAAAAAAAACTACACACATTCTTCCATGACTTTTGGGCTAAGAGTAAGAGAATCTTTTACTGTAGACCCAAAACTGCTCTGGATAACTCAGGAAGCATCGTTGGGACAGCCACTGCCATGAACTCCTCTGTGGTGGGAACTTTTCATGACTCCCTTGCCTGGTGGTCTCACCGGCAGGGGAGGAATAGAGCCGCCCAGTTAGATCCCAGTCTTCCTACAGGTACAACTAGAAGCCTGAACTAGCAGAGCTCCCCATCGGGCTCTGCCTGCAGACCTCATTTCAGCCTAGCTTGGTGTACTATCAAGCACCGCCAGCAAGGAGACGGGAATAAAGACAGAGCGCGCATCTGCTGTCTCTGCAAACTTCTTTTTCCACCACTTGGTTCAAATTCAGATAAATACTCTCACTTATCATCTGTGACAGATCATTGGTATTTCCCAGCCATTCACGCTTCAAATTAATTCTTCAACTTTAAGTAAAGAGCATGACTTGTCTCCAGAGTTCAACCACCTCAGCCTTCTAATACCTCTGGAGATCGGGCCAGGTTTTCCAGGAACCTGTGCATTCATCTGCTGACAGCCACTGTATCCCACTCCTCAGACTTCTCTCATCATATGGATGAGGTTCTGAAAAATGTAGGTCTTTCTCTGTGTAACATACTGATTTCTATGAGCAGCTCCATTCTATGTTGCTTTTCTAAGGACAGTTTATTTGGCGGTGTGTTTCTTACATAGCCGTAAGTACTTTATGGCAGTGGTCCTTAATTTCTTTTGCGTGAGAAACCTGCTTGAAAATCTGGTGGATGCCTGAGACTGTTTCCTCAGAACAAATCTCCCGTGCACATACACACCCCTTTATCTAGCATTTCAGTGGCTCATAGAGCTCCAGAGAAGAGTCCAAAGAACCCAGGTACATTGGGTCTTCATTTTTAAAAATGGTAATGAATCAATCTCTCACATCTGAAAGGCAATATTTAAATGTTTAAAAATCCACAAATGGTAAATATGGAAGAATGTGCCCAAGGTACTAAGGACTCTCATGAGGTACTATTGTGGTGTTTTCTTTATTTTTTCTTATGAGTGTGACTTTTAGTCTCCTAGGACAGACACTCTCTCCTTTTCCCCCAGCCTTGTACTGGATAATTTATCCTAACCAAGAAATTGATCCAGAAAACTAATACAGTGAATGTTTCCAGTGTCTCCTTATTTTGTACAAGCTTCTTGCAATTGTTCACTTTCTGCCACATAGAAAAAGAAGATATGTATATTATACATATTGGAGATAGAAAGCAATTAGGCTAATTGGAAATTGCAAGTCACCAATAATAAGTTGCCAAGTAATAAACCTAAGAACACAGCCTGTTTCTGTGTTTCAGAACAGACTGTCACGTGTTTGTTTTTCCCGTCCGTCCAGTGTATATAATCACTCCTTCTAAAGGGCCCAGTCTTCAGGAGGGGGCAGCTCTTGTTTGTTTTGCAGTCATTTTATTACTTGAGATCTTTGTGTACTTTATGTTTTCCCACAGATAAATGAGACATGCTGCGTAGTATGTGTTCATTTATTTCTCAAGAAATAAAAGACTTAAGCCTTTGCCTGGGAGATAAATGAACACATACCCTTCTTCCCTGAATGTCTCTGAGATGATCCTGTGTCATTTCCCTGGGCCTCTGGACTAGAGAACAATGAACAATTTGCAGGGCAGACCAGGCATTTCCTGTTAGAGTGTAAAATTATCTGATAATTTTTTCCGTGATTTATTTTTTACCAGCTTTGAAAGGTTCTAATTTCCTCATGTGATATGTTATGCCTCCAGAAAGAGGCAGCTAGAGCACCTTAGACTTTTGTGTCCTCACTTAAAGCCACTAAATCACTAACCAAATAACCTTGCTGCTCCCTTTCAGATCCCTATTTCTGCACTTGTCTCATTTGTGGAGGCCCTGGAAGTGGGGTACAGCAAACATAAAAATCCTTACCACAATTTGATGCACGCTGCTGATGTTACACAGACCGTGCATTACCTCCTCTACAAGACAGGAGTAGCGGTAAGTACAGATAGATTACATAAAAGATATGATGATGATTTTTTATTGGAGTCTGGTCCCATTTTGAGGAGGTAGAGCCCACACGTGCACTATTTTGTGGACTTCTGGTTCCCCAAGAATTATCTAACCAATCATGGAAAGTCTTGGGGTTCCTTATTGTTTCTGAAATTTTCTTCATCGTGGACTTGATGAAATAATAGGTAGCAGTGCCTGGCATCCTTACTAAGCTATGACCAAATTAAATATAATTTCTAGAACTAAATATGTATTTCCAGAAATGGAGAGTGATACTATTAACCTCTTGCTATGGTCAATCACAATTATATTCAAGCATCGTGAAATCGTATTGGTTATACTTGGCAAAGATATTGGAAAAAGTTAGCTTTTGGTTTAAACTGCTGGTTGTTTTTCACAAGGTTATTCTCATCCTATTTATATGTGTTTGATTTTCTTTGAACCTAAGGGTCAATCTTTACCTCTAACTGTTTGAAACTTTTCATGCTTGTTTCGGCCCAACATTTCATCTCTTTAGATGTTTTTGAGTCCCTGTTCTGTAATCCATTGTATTAACTGACCTCTTCAACCTGATTTTGCCTTTGTCCTCTTTGCCTTAATGTAAGCTATTATTTTACAAGATATAGCTTTAGTGACAAACAGCTAGGTTTCTATGACTTTTTACCTTGAAATCTTCTTCAGAATTGACGTTAAGGTAGCCATTCTTTGGGTATGGTTGTTAATTAGCCCATAAACTCAGTACACATTTATCTTTTCCACTAGGACATGTTGAAAGATTTGGTGTAATAACTCACTGAATTAAATAATGGAATACAGTGGGAGGAGTGTGGGCTCTGGAGCTAGATAAAATTGGATATAAATCCTTGCTTAATTACTTATTAGATTTTTTGACCTGCAATAAATTGCTTGACTCTCTGAGTCAGGATTTCCTGACTTCTAAATTTCAATTCTTCCTTACTGTAAAACGTATTTCTTAAAAATATTATTATGATTTATTATTTAAAAAGCTATTTTTAAAATTATATAAACATGACAAAGGGAACCTGTTTAATGTGACCAGGGATTTCTACCATAAACTTAGAGCAAACATCATAGTTACTAGAGGTTCAGTGAAAGCATGGAGCACAACAGGGATGCCCACATTGATATCGCTATTGAGTGTTTTTCCGGAGGTCTCAGCCAATGCAATATAGTATCTGAAAAAGATGAAGAAGCATCCTGTGAAAATAATTTGGTCATCTCCCTTAAAAAATCAAGAGAACTAACTACAAATTATTAGATCAAATAAAAGACCTCAGTAAGATCTGGATAAAATAGCTGTCCTATACACTGGAAATTAACAAGTGTAATAGAAAAACATACATTCCCAATGATTTGAAAATATCAATAAATTACCTATGAAGAACTTCAAAACTGATAAAAAGGAAACTGTAAAATCTAAATTAAAGGGCACAAAAATAATGTTTCAATAATTGAAGACATATACCATGTTTTTAATGCAAAGCCTCAGTATTATATAGATGTCAAATTTCCTCAAACTAATCTATAAATTCAAAGCAATACTAATAAAAATTTCAAAAGGATTTTCCATGAAACATGATAAACTGAATCTGAAATTTATGTAAAATACAGTTTTGAAAAAGACAATATGTGTGGTGGGTAGTTCTCACTCTACTAGATGTTAATATATTTACTGAAGCTATCGTGATAAAAAAACGGTGTGATATTTGTGCAAAAATAGACAAATATTTCCATGGAATTTATTAGAGTTTCAAAAACTAAGCTCAAATATTTGTTGAGCACTTATTGTGTGCCAGGTACTTTTTTGCAGGATGAGGATGCATTGGTGCTCTTACAGGACTTGCATTCTAGTGGGAGGTTGTAGATAGAAGACCAGTGAAAAAGTAAAGAAGAAAATATCACTAGTGTTCTGCAGAGATTGAATATAGGGCACCCACATTGGGAAAACAGGGGGTTTTATTAGATGGTCAGCAAAGGCCTCTCTCTGGAGGTAATCTTTAATCTGAGATAGTTGAGCTTTTAGGCTTGAGCCATGCTAAGAACTGAAGAAGGATATGGCAGCAGAGTTAGAGCAGGATTAGTACAAAGTCCCTCATGAGAAAGCAGCTTTGTGTAGTCAAGGAGCAGAAATAAAGCAAGCATGGTGAGAACAGCACATGACGGGGTCAGTAGTGCAAGAGAAGGTTGGAGAAGAAGGCAGGAGCCAGACCAAGGTCTGGGTAATGAATTCCAGTTTTATCTAAGTGCAGTTTGAGACGACTAAAGCGTTTTAGACAGCCAGCAGAATGATGTGATCTGATGAAGATAAGAAGAGTGTTAGTGTGGAGCATGGCTTTTGAGGCAGCCTGTTGGAAGAGTACTATAGAAGTCTACGGGAGACATAGTGGTAGTTTGGACTAGGAAGGACATTGCTGAGATATAGAGACAAAAAAAAATTGTTTCTCAGTGATGTATGGCAATTGCTTCTCAATAAAACTGGGAAAAAATTCTGTTTCTGAGATAGACTTAAAAGGATTGGGTGGTGAAAAGGATTTGGAACATTAAAGTGAGGAAGATTTTTGGTTTGGTAAACAGGGTTGGTGAGACAGCCTGGTGGCAAAGCAGGCTTTGGGGAAGGGGAATCAAGAGTTTTGATTTACACATGCTAAGTTTAAGATCTTTGTTAGACATCAATGTGGAGATGTCAAGCAGGAAGAAAACTAAAGGAGTCCAGTGTTCTGAGAAGAGGTCAGGGATGGACGTGGAGATTAGACAATCGTGGGCATATCAATATTATATAAAGACATGGAACCAGATGAGATTTTCTAAAGAGAGTGTGAACAGAGAAGTAGAGGGGCTCAGAAGTGAGTCCTGGAGCAGTCCAGAGTTGACAGTGAAGGTAAAGAATTAGAGCCAACAATAGTAACTAGAAAGGAGTGGCCAGTGACATTGGGACAAAAACTAAGAGAATGTGGGGTCCTGGAAGCCAGTGAAAGAAAGTGCTTCAAAAGAGAATGGTGAATTGTGTGGGACATGCCAACAAGTCAAGAAGGCTGAGGATAAAGAAGTGACCACTGCTTTTGACAACATGAAAGTCATTCCTGCCCTTGACTGAGCAGTCTAAGGAGTTTCGTGAGGATGGAACACTGACTAGAGTATAACGAAGAGAGAATTGCAGATGAAAAGCTGAGGACACATCTGTAGACAACAACATTACAGGGAGAATTCCTCAGTTCAAAAAATGTTTGGGGGACAGTTGTTCATTTGGAGAAAGATGAGTGTTTTTGTCCTACTTCAAATCATTCACCACATATTGGACAAATGAATGAAAGATGTGAGTACAAAAATAAAAATTTGATCATATTAGAAGAAACTATGAGAATATATTTATAGGCTTGAAAAAGGAACTTCTTTCTTAAATAAGCCTCAAAATGCAAAAGTTATATGGCAAAATATTGATTGAGTATATTAAAATTGAAATCTTCTGTAGGATAAAAAGCATTGTTATTATGAAGTGCTTAAGGAAAATACAGAGAGAGCAAAGATTAAGATCGAGATTATATGAATAAATCAACAAGAAGAGAACAGAAATTCAGTAGACAAATAGGAGGAAATTTATTCACAGCGTTAAGATTGCCCTGTCATAAAGTCTCTGTCATGGGCTAAATTTTGTCCCCCCCTTAATTTCATATGTTGAAGTCCCAATCTCTAGTGCCTCAGATCATGAGTGTATTTGGAGATAGGGTCTTCAAAGAGGTGATTAAGGTAAAATGAGGTCATATGGGTGGGCCTAATATGATATGACTGGTGCCTCCTAAGAAGAGGAGATTAAGATGCAGACGTGCATGTGCACAGAGGAAGGACCATGTGAGGACACAGCGAGGAGGTGGCGTCTGCAATCTGGGAAGAGAGCTCTCACTGCAGATACCCATACCTTGATCTTGGGCTTCTAGCCTCCAGAACTGTGAGGAAATGACTTTCTGTTGTTTAATCTGCTTAGTTGGTGGCATTTTGTTATGGCAGCCTTAGCAAAACAATAGAGTAGCAGAGCCAGGATTAGGTCCCAGATCTGACGTCTGAGGCCATGCGTTGAAATATTTAGCCATGCTTCTACAATGCCTGTGGCAAAAAAATAGCCCCTGATATTCTTACACTTCAGTATCCTCACGTGATTCTTCAAAATATTGTGGTGAGGATCAAAATAGATGTGAAAAGGTACTCTGGACTCATCTATTCAACATATGTTTGGTTGGTACCTAGTAGGTACAATGTACCATGGAGATATAAAGGAGAATTATGCACAGCTTTCTTAGCTCTCAAGAAAAACTCCCAAACGTTTATACTAATGCAAGTTATCATTAATATAAATGTTATATCATAGCAGCCGATGATCATGATGTACGGCATACAGTTCTTAAATGAGCTCATTTGCCATTTGTCACTGAATTTGCATTATCAATTCAGGCTATATTCAAAAGCATTCTTAAATATAGAAACTACTTCCCACCCACTCTCTCTTGGAAATACAACTCAAAACGAACTTCTTTCATTGCCAGCTTACAAAAACAGTGGGGAGCATTCTGATGAATGGAGAACATATTGTTACTCTAACCTTTCATTACAAACCAAAAGGGAGAAAATGCTTTAAATTATTTCAGTTTTATAAACTGTGAGACACATGGGGAATCAAAACATCCCATTGATAAAGTGATGTCTGGGCCTCAACATCAACAGTATTACTCATTGTAATGTGTTTATATTACTCATTATAGCTTAGCTTAGATGCCAAGAAGATGCTTGAATCCGTTCAGAATTGTTTTGCTCACTCCTAAGAGAAAATCCTTGAACAGAATTAGATTGAAGAGTTGTTGATTGAATAGATATGAATCAGACTCTGAGCTCTAGTCTGCTTTTCATTCAGGTCAAAAAATTCCAAACTTCAAAGCGGTTTCTTGGCCCCTTTCATTGCTTTGTCAGGCAAGGTGCCATTAGTTTCCCTTTTGCTTACTTTTTTAGAAGAGAGAAGCTGTGTCTTGTTCTTTTGATTATATGTGTCATCATCATGTTTGTAAGGGAAACACTACGGACATCTAAATGGCATCCTGGTTAATGAGTGCTGAGTAATTTTATTAGGGTTTGTGGTCAGCAGTATTTCGGCCCCCATGTCCTTTGCCCCCTGGTTTCACACTTGTTAATATGTTACATAGATGGCAAAAAGGACTTTGTAGATACAATAAAGGTTACTAATCAGAGGGCCTTAAAATAGAGAGATTAGCCTGGATTCTGCAGGTGGGCCCAATGTAATCACATGAGTCGTTAAAAGTCAAGAGGTGTAGGGGCCAGTCCCGTGGCGCAGCGGTTAAGTTTGAATGTTGCGCTTCAGCGGCCCAGGGTTCACTGGTTCAGATCCCAGGTGTGGACATGACACCGCTTGTCAAGTCATGCTGTGGTAGGCATCCCGCATATAAAGTAGAGGAAGATGGGCACGGATGTTAGCTCAGGGCCAGCCTTCCTCAGCGAAAAGAGGAGGGTTGGCAGCAGATCTTAGCTCAGGGCTAATCTTCCTAAAAAAAAAAAACATCAAGAGGTGTAGCAGAAGTGTGAAAAGGATGCAACCAGCCATCGCTAGCTTCAAGATGGAGGGGACCAAGTGGGAACGTTGAGAAGGAAATGCATTCTGCAAGTGCCCTGAATGCACTAGGAAACAGGTTTTTCCACAGAGCTTCCAGAAGGGAATGCAGACCTGCCAACACTTTGATTTTAGCCTGGTGAGATCCTGACCAGAACATCCAGCCACGCTGAGCTGACTTCTGACCCACTGAACCGTGTGCTGATAAATGGGGCACAATAATGGGTGTTCTTTATGCCTTTAGTTTGTGATAATTTGTGAAGGTAGAATAGAAAACTAATATAGGGGTGGAAACAGATTTCTAAGGAAATTCTATCATTTACATATCAAAGTCAGGAGTGACTGATAATGTCTTCTCTGGCAATGGGAAATTGCCCCTGTCCTTTTCCTTCAGGTTTCCACTGCCCCCATTAACTCCTCCCCCACCAGCCCCCCATGGCTTGCTTTCCTGAGTCACACACAGCAGAATTCAGAACCCACTGTTACCAGCTGTCAGGGCCTCCCTGTCATTGAACTAGTTGTGACACTCATATTTTGTAGATAGTGAGGTACTGATAGGATCTATGGCTTGTACCTTGTCACATTTTGATAAATCTGGAATAAAATTCACATGGGACTTAAATTTCTGACTTCTTATGAGTTATAAAACCTTCTAGGTTCACAGTGATTAATTTGGAAGAGGCAAGGAAATCTGAGCCATATTAAAATATGAAGCCCAATTTCCCTCAAAATAGCTTCTCCCACCTTCTCTGTTTCTATCAATGATGCCAACTATTTTCACCCAGCCAGCCCCGGTGGTCTAGTGGTTAAGATTTGGCACTCTTGCTCTCACTGCCGTGGCCCCGGTTTGTTTCCTGGTCAGGGAACCACACCACCCATCTGTCAGTTGTCATATTGTGGCAACTGCGTGTTGCTGTGATGCTGAAAGCTATGTCACGGGTACTTCAAATAGCGGCAGGGTCACTGTAGTGGACAGGTTTCATTAGCGCTTCCAGACTAAGACAGACTCGGAAGAAGGACCTGGCCTTCCACTTGCAAAAACATTGACCATGAAAATCCTATAAACAGCAGCAGAGCGTTGTCTGAAAAAGTGCCAGAAGGTGAGAGGGTGGCACAGAAAAGAGCAGGCAGGGTTCCGCTCTACTGTCACTAGGAGTCAGAATCGACTCAATGACACTAACAACAAAAATAGCCACCCAGGATGGCTTTTGCCACCCAGGCCAGGAATGTTGGGGTCCTCTTTAATTTGTTCTCCTTCACTACAACCCCTTCTACCCCCCCTCTGCCTCAGGAGGCATGAGGCATGAGGCCAGGCGTTATCTTTCCATCTGTCTCTGTCTAATAGACATCAGGTTTTCTGTTACTCTTAGTTCTTGGTATTGTGTTGAAATTTTTAATTTTTTTTCTCTGTCTACCTGGCAACCTCATTCGGAATTTGAGAAAGGGTACCTTGAGGACTTTTAGAGTCTTCATGTTCTTTGTTTTTTGCTGGAAAAAAATAAAACTACTAGTTAGCTTTTTCAACCTTGCTGGGCATGCTGTTTTCAAATCACGTGTTCCTCGGTCTCCTCACAGAAAAAAAAAGATTCTGTCTGCCAGAAAATGTGTATTTGGCAATAACTTGCCAGCTGCAGGGTGGAAAGGCAGCAATGTTCGTGTGTTGTCAGCAAGCTGAAGACTTTGTCTGAGAAAGAGACAGATTATCTGATTGCTCTGTAATCTCCCTTTCAGAACTGGCTGACAGAGCTGGAGATCTTTGCTATCATCTTCTCAGCTGCCATCCATGACTATGAGCATACTGGAACCACCAACAATTTCCACATTCAGACCCGGTGAGGATGTTGAAATGCTTGCCAAAGAGGCCAGAGGGGGCTGGGATGGAGTTTGGGAAGTCAGAAAGATGCGGTCATTTAGACTTTCTGAAAAAACGAACTCACAAACAGGAGATCAGCCTGGTCCACTTTGATGAAGACTTAGAGTTTAAGAAGCCATCTGCTCCTAATTCTCGTATTTTATTCATGTCTGATAAGGATCTCCTTTTCTTCTCTATTCAAATGCTATTTGTTTGTGTATGTATGTACTATGCACACTGTACCTATTTCTAACAGGAGGTAGAACAGTCCACGTAGAGGCACAGGTGCCATGGGGACTGACTCTGTGAGGATGGGCGGGGACTGCAGTGTTCATGTTGGCATAGCGGTAGCTGAGCCTTCCCACCCTCTGCTCTCTGGGAGTCTGGTGATAGTCTTCTCATCCTCCCTGACTTCATCTCTGCTGTGTCAGTGCTTGCCTCGCTCCCTGGCACAGGGCTTGGGGAGCCAGGTTGTCTCCCGGAGGCCACCTTCACCAGGGCAACCTGTGCCCCCTCTGTGACGAACCGCACAGGTAATCGCAGACCTCTGTAGGGATATTGCAAAGGGGTCCAAGTGCCCCACTCTGAATTTGTTGACTATGACAGACATCACTAATCAATTTGGGGACTTTTTTCTTACCCAGCTGCGTATTATGCTTCGTATTCCACTCAGCACAGAATTCTAGGCGAGCAGTACGGTCAATTGTCAATTCCGTTTAGGATGAAACCTCATCTGCCCTCTCCTGACCTAAGAACTTATCTTCTCTTTAGACAGCAATGTGGAACTGGAGAGACTGTGACAGTAGGGTTAATTGGGCCTTGACATAGGAATCAAAAGAAGCTGGAATTTGGGGAAAGATGGCAAGGCAAAGAGAATGGGTATAGCAGGAGGGGCTGGCCCAGAGGCATAGTGGTTAAGTTTGTGTGCTCCACTTTGGTGGCCTGGGCTTCCCCAGTTCATATCTTGGGCACAGACCTACACGCCACTCATCAAGCCATGCTGTGGAGGCATCTCACATACAGAATAGAGGAAGACTGGCACAGATGTTAGCTTAGCAACAAATATTCCTCCAGCAAAAAGAGGAAGTTTGGCAACAGATGTGAGCCCAGGGCCAAGCTTCCTCACACACACACACACACACAAAGAACATAACAGGAGGGACGAGAGTTAAACACCAAATAAATACTCACTGATTTCACTTGAAAAAGCAGGTGCACACTTCAGATAGGTTTGTATTCATTAAACCAATCTACATGTGTTTAATGAACCCAACATTTAATTATGGGGGACACAAAAGAAGACAGTATCATCTGATCTCTCTTCAGAAGGGGAATTTCAATAGAATGGCAGCGGACAAAAGGACTTCAGCCGTTCGCTTCATTTTCTGCCTCCTGTCTCCTCACATGGAGTAGTCTCAGCTGCTGGGGAGCCGCCTTTTGTAGTTGTGTTGCGAGGTCTTCAAACACAGGGAATTCTACAGAGCAGCTCTGTTTAGTGGATATCTGCGAGTGTCACCTTTGCTCTGAGGACAGAGACTGCAGTGAATAGTGCCTGCTGGAGGAAGAGCGCTGGGTGGGACAACTGTACCTAGATCTTGGCTGGAGACCAACATCAAAACCAGTCACAACTCAGAGGGAAATGCCTTGATTACAGGAGGTGGAAAATAGCTCGTTGTCACAAAATACACACCAGTTGGTGCCTTCCTAACCTAAAAGATGGAAGATCAGCTCTTTCACCTCAGGATTTGCATGTTTCGTGTTATCTCCGTAGGAGTGGGGAAATTCCAGTGGGTTCAGTTAAGCTTGGTTTGGAGTGAAATTTAAACGTTGGCCTTCTTTAACAGAACTTTATCTAGAGCATCTCAGCCTGTAGGCTCCCTGTTCAGAAAACTAAGTCTGTGACCGGGTTCTGTGTCCTTTGATAGACAAAATATTACCCCTAACACTTTAAAGGTGTGCTAGATACATCCCAAGGTTTGACCAATGACAGGCAGAAGTTATTTTGGGGAAGAATGACCCAGCTGTGAGAAGATCTTGCCTTCATCCCAACCCTGCTAGTCAGCCGCTGTGGGGCTCTGTGAAGTCACTTTACATCTCTGGGACTCATCTTCCTTGATGAGAAACAAGCTCTAATAACTAAGGTTTCATTAAATTAAAGATATTAAAATAGCATACAGCTCTGTGTCTGTTGTCATTTAGCTGTGGAATGGTCTTTGAGAAAGTGACTGACAATTGTCATATAATCCTTATATTCTTTATTCTCAATTTTCCACAAATGGCTTCTGCATGGTAAAATTTTAAGATCAAGCTACAGCCAGAGAAACTTGCAAACTGTACCTGCCGGGTGGTCTGTGTTCAGTGAATTGCAATTAAAATAAATAAATTCTCTCATTGAACAAAGTAAAAATAAAAAATTAAGTAGTTCCAGAAAATATAAGGAAGTTTGAATTGACCCACATCTCAAATCACCTTTGCCGCTGGTACAGATAAGTGAGATATGGTTAAGGAGCAGTTTTCAGAGAGTTCTCAGCTTGCATATCCACACATTGCACATTCACACAGTGACATTAAAATACCCTGTGTACAACTGACGATAATTTGTAGTGTTGGTTTTCGCTTTATGGTTGATAGAAAGGGCATGGGGGCAAGGATAGTTGCTAAACCTAAGAGAAAGAGATGGTGCGTTCTAGCCTGGGAGAGCGACGTGTGAAATCTCAACTGTTTAATATCCTCAGTTATTTTGCTTGGCTTTCTGTTCAGGTCTGACCCGGCTATTCTGTACAACGATAGATCTGTATTGGAAAATCACCATTTAAGTGCAGCCTATCGCCTTCTGCAAGAGGATGAGGAAATGAATATATTGATCAACCTCTCAAAGGATGACTGGAGGTAAGGATGAGGCAAGAGAGAGGTTTGGAGGCCAGGAATGGAGCTGTGAGGAGCGATGAAGTGTGCAGCTTTTGAAGAAATAATATTCTGTTTGAAATGTTTATGGCTGTGTCTCTCTGTCTTTTTCCCCCCTCCTTCCTTTGCTCCCTCCATTCCCTTTATCATTCTCTCTCTCTGTTTTTTCTCTTTGACACCAAAATTCAAGTATATTGTAGGCACCTTGTAAATGTTTGCTGTTTGTTATTTTAGGAAACTTAGGTTGTTTTTATCTCAGCTTCTTAAATCTGAATTTTATCATTTAACATGTTTTCACCTTATATTTGACTGGATTTCTTAAAAAATATTTCAAAATGTGCTAAAGAAATTATTTTGAGACTTTAAAAAACTCATGAGGGGGCTGGCCCCATGGCATAGTGGTTAAGTTTGGTGTGCTCTGCTTTGGCAGACAGGATTCACAGGTTCCGATCCTGGACACAGACTTACACCACTTGTCAGCCATACTGTGGTGGTGATCCACATATAAAATTAGCTCAGAGCTAATCTTCCTCAAGCAAAAAAAAGAGGAAAATTGACAATGGATGTTAGCTCAGGGCTAATCTTCCTCAGCATAAATAAATAAATAAATAAATAAATAAATAAATAAATAAATAATGAGTACTTAATCCTGTTGTCTAAATGACATAATCCCCCCCCCCCTTTTTTTTGTGGTGAGGAAGATTGGCCCTGAACTAGCATCTTTTGCCAATCTTCTTCTTTTTGCTTGAGGAAGATTCTCGTTGAGCTAACGTCTATACCAATCTTCCTCTATTTTGTATGTAGGATGCCACCATAGTGTGGCTTGATGAGTGGTGTGTAGGTCCAAGCCCAGGATCTGAATGGTGAACCCTGGGCCACCGAAGTGGAGCACGGGAACCCAGCCACTTTGCCATTGGGCTGGCCTCGACTGTGTGTCTTTTGATTTAGGCATGGCTGAGTTTGAATGTGGACACAGTCATTTACTAGCTGGATGATATTTAGGAAGTTACTCAACCCCTTTACACCTTTTTAAAATTTAATTTCTAGAAAACAGATAATAACATTTACCCTGTGATTTGGTTAGGGTTATAATAAATGAGACAATCCATTTAAAATGCTTAGCACACTTTATGACATATATAACAAGGCTAAAAATCATTGCAGCTGTAAATACAGGTCAAGGTGTTTCAAAGCTTATAGGCGAAACCATTTAAATCATTACAAAGTCCTGAATCTACCGTGATGCAAATAGTACTTATATTTTAATTAAATGATCAGCTGTTTATTGAGTGGTATCTCTGTGCCATTATGCAAGGATTCAGAGAAATAAGCTATAGGAAACAATAAATCCGAAACAGATTTTCAGTAAGAGCTGGCTATTAGTTTCCATGCAGCTCTAGTTTATTAAAACATAGAGGAACATTTGGCTTGAATTTTATTGGAAAATGCTAGGTTCAGCCAGCATCTGAAAAATGCAGAGCATTTCAGTTAATCAATGTAAATCTTCTGGAAAAAAAGGAACCCTCTATCCAATTTAAATGTCTGTAAAAGTATAATGAAAGATTTGAATACGGCTGAGAACAGCTTCACGCATCTTCAGATACATCACGGTTTTGAAGGATTTGTGTGAGGGCTTGTTTAGATGGGGTGTATTCCTGGCCTCATGACAATCTAATCAAGTGATACAAACTTTGAGTAATTGCCTCTTTTTTTTTTTTTTGAATCTCAGGGGAAGGAGAAAGGGGAGGAAACTTGGGTAGAAGCAGCCTAGATCTCCGTGCAGTCTAAGGAAAGTTTTCCAAGGCTGGGCAGCACGGGACGCCAATGATGGGGATACTTTCTGAGAAATGCATCATTAGGCGGTTTCGTTATTGTGCAAACATCATAGAGTGACTTACACAAACCTAGTTGGTATAGCCTACCGTACCCCTAGGCTCTATGGTACAAATCTTATGGGACCACCATTGTATATGCGGTTCATTGTTGACCAAAATGTCATTGTGTGGTGCATGATTGTATTGTTTTATTATTTATTTATTTTTTAAAGATTGACACCTGAGCTAACAACTGTTGCCAATCTTTTTTTTTTCTTTCTGCTTTTTCTCCCCAAATCTCCCCAGTACATAGTTGCATATTTTAGTTGTGGGTCCTTCCAGTTGTGGTATGTGGGATGCTGCCTCAGCATGGCCTGATGAGCGGTGCCATGTCCATGCCCAGGATTTGAACCAGTGAAACCCTGGGCCGCTGAAGCAGAGCACGTGAACCCAACCACTTGGCCATGGGGGCGGCCCCTGTATTGTTTTATTATTTTGTCACATTTTATTAATGTTTAGATACAGTGCCCCAGGACAATGGTATTATTGTATAAATATAATATTAAATTATTGGTTAGGGCTCTCAGTAAATCCCATTAACCCAAAGATAACATGTTTAATATTCTATATCTTTCTAGGAAAGCAGTTTTACTATCTGATAGATTCTGTTTGGATATACAAGTGCATTAGGCTTCTCGGGGCCTTTGTAAGTGAATGTATTACCAGATATTTGCTGCATTTCACAGTGGAATAACATGGAATTCCACTTTTGGCAGCCCAAATTAGCTGCTAATAAACCAGTCCTCCCGCAAATAACAACTCTAAACTTTGGACAAAATACAAACAATCACAACTCCCCATGACCTGAGGGCTGTAGAGAATGAACAAAATCAGGCAAATTTTGAAGGCATGTCAAAATTTGGAGACAATGACAGGATGAGGCGAGTCTGACATTTTTGTTACTTTACCCTGAAGGCAGCCTCAGTCAAGGCAACAACAGTAGATGGTGAAAACCATATGTATACAGAAACTGCCACCGTTTTTCTGGGTAGAGAAACCAGGGTAGGAACAAACAGAGCTGAGCGAGTTAGAATCCCAGCCAAGAGAAAGCCAAATAAGGAGAAACTCAAATTCTGTGACAATCTAAATGACATACAAAGAAAATGTGACTTATTTTCAAGGGAAAAGGCAATCAATAGATGCAGGCTCCAAGATGAACTATTGTTGGAATTATCAGACAAGGATTTTTAAAGCATTAATATATTTATGCTCAGTGAAGTAAAGGAAAATATGCTTGTAATAAATAAAATACAGTATAATTTAACCAGGGAAATTAAAATGAAAGCAAGAGAAAACAAATTTTAGAACTGAAAAATAAGATATCTAAACTGAAAATTCACTACATTGGCTTAGTAGCAAGTTGGAGAAGATAGAGGAAGGAATCAGTGAACTTGAAAAGATCAGTCAAAATGATCCCATTTGAAGAAGTAGGAAAAAATGATTTAAAAAATGAACAGAGACTTAGAGACCTGTAAGACAATTTCAGGTGGTCAAACATAAGGAGAGTTGGAATCTCAGAAAGAGAGGAGAGAGAAAGAATGGGGCAGAAGAAATATTTAAAGAAATAATGGCTCAACATTTCCCAAATAAAGTGAAAGATATAAATCTATAGATTCAAGAAGCTTAGCAATCTAAAAGAGGATAAATTCAAAGAAAAACACACCTACACACATATTATAGGCAAACTGCCAAGAGTCAAAGATAAAATTAGAGAAAAACGACACATTACATTCAGTGGAACAACTCAAATTACTGTAGAGGCCAAAAGACACTGGAATAACATCTTTAAGGTGGTAAAAGAAAAAAATGTTGACACAGAATGCTATATCTTGTGGACACATCCTTGAAAATGAAGGTGACATGACGTTATTTTCAGATAATGGAAAACCTCAGAAATTTGTCACCAACAGAGCTGCATTATAAGAAATGCTGAAGAAAGATCTTTAGGTGGAAGGAAAATGATACCAGGGGAAATCAGACTTTTAGGAAAGAATAAAATGGTAAATATCTGGGTAAATATAAAAGGCTATTTTTCTTAATTTCTTTCAGTGCATATAACAGTTAAAAACAAAAAATACAATATAGTCTCATGAGTTTATAATGTAGGGAAGTGTAATACACGTAAAAGCTATAACATAAAGACAACTAGTCATGTGCTGCATAACATTTCAGTTAACGATGGATCACATATATGACAGTGGTCCCATAAGAGTACTGCGATATAGCCTAGGTATGTAGTAGACGATACCATCTAGGTTTGTGTGAGTGATGTCTATGATGCTCACACAATGACGAAATTGCCTAACCACGCATTTCTCAGAACGCATCCCTGTCATTAAGCAATGCATGATTGTATAACATAAAGACTGGTAATAAGTAAATGGACCTATACTGTTACAAAGTTTTTACATTTTAGATGTAAAAACCTGCAGGCCTTCAGGCTGGAACTACACTACCAATTCTCCTGGTTCTCAGGCCTTTGGACTTGGACTAGATCTACACCATTGGCTCTCCTGGGTCTCTAGCTTGCCAACTCACCTTGAGACTAGTTAGCTTCCATAATTACATAAGCCAATGCCTCATAATAAGTCTCTTTCTGTATATATATGTACATTCTATTGGTTCTGTTTTTCTGGAGAATTCTGACTAGTACATAAGGTTTATTCCTGGAATGCAAGGTTAGTTCATTACTTAAGAATCAATTCAAATAATTCACCATATTAAAAAAAAAACCAGAAAAGTGTATGGTCGTTTCAATAGATGCATAAAAAGCATTTGACAAAATTCAACACTCATTCATGATAAAAATTCTCTACAAGCTAGGAACAGAAGAGAACTTCCTCAACTTGATAAAGGGCACCTGTGAAAAGACCTATAGCTAACATCATGCTTAATAGTGAAGAATTGGATACTTTTCCTTCAGATTGGGAACAGGACAACAATACCTGATCTTACTCTTGTCAACACTGTAAGATGTCTGTATTAGCAGATGACCTGATTGTCTGAGTAGAATATCCTAAGAATCTGTAAAGCAGCTACTAGAACTAATAATGAATTTTGCAAGGTCACAGAATACAAATTTAATGTAAAAAAAAATGTGTGTGTATATATATATATATATATATATATATGCATATATATACAGCAAACCATTAGAAAACGGAATAAAAATAATTTATTTTACAATAGCACAAAAATATAAAATACTTAGTATTAACTTTAAAAAACAAGTGTAGCTCCTGCCCTCTGAAAACTACAGAACATTGCTGATTAAAGAGGATCTAAATGAATTGAGAGAGATATTTTCCTCATGTAGTGGAATAAGCAGTATTATAAAGATGTCAGGTCTTTCCAAATTTATCGATAGATTCAACACAATCTCAATCAAAATTCCAGCAGAATTATGTTAGAAATTGGCAAGGATATTCTAAGATTTATGTAGAAATGCAAACAAAACAATTTGAAAGAAGAACAGTTAGAGGGTCCACACTACCTGATGTCAAGATACACTATAAAGCTACAGTAATCAAGACAGTGTTTTATTAGTGAAAGGCTAGATGCAAAGACTCGTGGAACAGAATTAAGAGCTCAGAAATTGATTCATCATTTATTTATGACATAGGTTCTGAGGTAATTCAATGGGGAAAGGAGAATGTTTTTACCAAATGGTGTTAGAACAAATGGATATCCATATGGAAAAAAAATAACTTTGACCCTTACCTCACACCATACTCAAAAATCAACTCAAAATTGATCATAGACTTAACTGCAAAAGCTTAAAATGGTAAGGCTTCCAGAGGAAAACGTATCAGTCTTTGGAGTAGGTAGAGTTTTCTTAGATAGGACCCAAAAAGCATGAAGCATTAAAAATTTTGATAAGTTGAACTTTATCAAAATTAAAAACTTTGGAAGAGACTAAAAAAGAAAAAATCAAGCCAAGAAGTAGGAGAAATTATTCACAACATATATGTTTTACATAGGATTTGTATCTAGAATATATAAAGTACCTTCAACTCAATAATAAGACAAACAACCCACTTTTGAAATGGGAAAGGTTTGAAACAGACATTTGTCTAAAAAAAAAGATATACAAATGGCCTTGTAAGTACGTGAAAAAGGGCTTGACATCATTAGTCGTAATAATGTCATGCAATAAAGAGTACAAATTAAATACAATAATAAAAAAATATAAATTGAAACCACAATGAGATACCACTACACATCCCTTAGAATGGCTGAAATTAAGACTGACAGTAGTAAGAGTAGACAAAGATATAAAAAACTGGAACTTTCATACACTGATGGTCAAAATGTAAAGTGATACAACTACTTTGAAAAATGTTTGGCAGTTTCTTATAAAGTTAAATACTGAGTTGTTATAAACCAGCCATTCTACTCCTAGTTATTTATCCTAGAGAAATGAAAACATATATCCACACAAAGACTTGTATATGAATACTGATAGCAGCTTTATTCATAATAGCTCCAAAATATAATCCAGTAGCCCAAATGTCCCTCAGCTGGTGCATGGATAAATAGTGGTGTACTTGTATGATGGACTACCACCCTGCAGTAAAAACAAATGAACTATTGGGGCCGGCCTGGTGGCCTAGTGGTTGTTTGCCCACGTGGCTTTGGTGACCCAGGGTTTGCAGGTTTGGATCCCAGGTGCAGACCCAGCAGTGTTTGTCAGGCCATGTTCTGGTGGTATCCCACATAAAGTAGGGAAGATTGGCACAGATGTTAGCTCAGCAACAATCTTCCTCAAGCAAAAAGAGGAAGATTGGCAATAGATGTTAGCTCAGGGCCAGTTTTCCTCACACACTCAAAAACCCAGAAACAAATGAACTATTTACCACTACATGGACGAATCGCAAATCACTATGCTGAGTAAAGGAAGCAAGAAGTGAAAGAATACATTTTGTGTTGTGTGTGTGGGTGTACATACGTGGTACATGTGCATATATCTAGTTTAATATAATATATGTGTGTGTATATATATACACACTATCCATTTTTATACACATACACATATATATCTGCATTATGTCTCTCTAGATCATTTGTATTTTCTAGTTTTGTATGTACAGTTATGCATTGCATAACAATGTTTCAGTCAATGATGGACCACATATATGATGCTGGTTCCGTAAGATTAGTATAGTATAGCCTAGGTGCATAATAGGCTATACCATCTAGATTTGTGTAAACACACTCTATGATGTTTGCATGATGACAAAATTGCCTAACAACTCATTTCTCAGAACATATCCCCATCATTAAGTGACACATTGCTGTATGTTTGTATATAAATATGCACTACACACACACACACATAAAACTCGAAAATGCAAATGATGCAGAGGTGGAAAGCAGATCGAAAGTTGCCTGCGGCAGAGGGAGCGGTGAACTGCAAAGGGGTTTGAGGGTGGTGGAAGTGTTTAGTATCAGGATTATGGTGGTGTTTTCAAAAGCTTATTCAACTATTAAAACTCATAAAAGTGTTCAACTTACATGGGAGCAGTTGATTCTATGTAAATTCTACCCTGGTAAAGTTGTTAGAGAGGTAAAAAGATGAGTGTTTGGCAGGGCTGGGGGAAGGGCAAAGGGAGTGGATAGGTGGGGCACCGGGGATGTTAGGGTGTTGACACACCTTTATCAAAAGTGTGATATGGAGGGTCAGTTTGCCTCCTAGGCTTATCTTCAAATTAACTTTCTCTTAAAACTTTGAATTCTGTTGAGAGAGGAATGATTTACTACACTTTCACTTTCATTGGAATCTTTCTTGTGAGTTAATTTTCCAAATGATGTGTGGATTCCACATGTCATATTCCTAATGAACAATTTCCTTAACGCTTAACCTTCATTTATTCCTCATAAAAAAGTCCACCTAAAAGGCTCGACTTAGATTAGAAATGTCACAACTTATTAACTGATTTTGATTGGAAGTGGCAAAAAATAAACTAATTTTTACTTTTCATTTTTTGCTTCCATCCTTTTTTCTCCATGGTGTGGCCCTGAAAGGGAGTTTCGGACTTTAGTAATTGAGATGGTGATGGCCACGGATATGTCCTGTCATTTCCAACAAATCAAAGCGATGAAGACTGCTCTGCAGCAGCCGGAAGCGTGAGTGGACCTGTGACACCGTGTGTTTTTATTGCTGTTTGAACTGGCACCTGTCCATGTTGTTGCACCTTTAAAGTGTACTTTTTTCAGAGAACTTTATCGAATGGTCTCATAAAGTGAGGCTGGTTGGAGGAGAGAGCATGAGCATTGTATATATCACAGATGGGTTCTCATCAGGGTTGAAATAAATAATAGGGCCAGGGACAATTTGCCCCAATTAGAATTTAAAATATTTCCCTGTGGGAAACTAAATCATCAAAGATCCCCTCAATGAGGAGGCAACAAATAGAAGTCAGTGAGGGCTCTTGGCTTCTTGTTGTCTTGTTGAATGATGCGGTCCTTCCAGAAATAGTTTTGAGGTGTCTAGCTCAATAAACATGGAGACCAAGCTTTTGAATATCCCAGTTGTGGGATGAAACAGTGCCTTTCCCGTAATTCAGCTGAAATGGGGTTTGAGAGGGGAGAATGGAAGGGACTCAAAAATTAATGATTTTTTAAAATTCTTATTGAGGTTCTGAAAGTTTGGTCATCCTGTGTTTGGGTTCACAGAATTGAAAAACCGAAAGCATTATCCCTGATGTTGCACACAGCAGACATTAGCCACCCAGCAAAAGCATGGGAGCTCCATCATCGCTGGACAATGTCACTCCTGGAGGAGTTCTTCAGACAGGTACCTTGTTGTTATGCTACCGCTAAGGCTGTCATCCCTGGATAGTTTCTGCGTTTTAAATTTCAGCAATGCTATGATAAGGACTATTGAGATTACAGTAATTTTCATCAAGGAGGGAGCCTCCGCAGCTTTTTCTTTTTGCCTCTGGTCATGTGATGTGTGACTCTTACCTAATTTCTGATTCTCAGAGCGTTATGGTATTTCTATCTTATGCATTTCTGTGTGGAAAAAAGTATTTCCTTTTGGCAGTCTTTTGTCAAAATATCATCTGGTTACTTTCCCTCTTACATTTTTTCTAGTGGGTTCACCAGATAATGGTTGCTTTGGCATTGCCCGCTTTAAGATATTAATCTTTAACTCATGTTTCTGTTGTAATTGATTGGGTTGTTTCTTTTGAGCAGATAAGCCGTGTTGTCAAATTCCAAAGCCAGGTGTAGCAGTTTGGGTCAGGAAATCACTAGAAGCTACTCTTCCAATTATATGTAAACCTACTACCTCCTAAGACATAGGGTTGTTTTCTACAAGAATAGCCAGAGTCTTTGATGAATATACAGTGTTTTAAAATAAAATTTTAAAAAAGTATACGGAAATAAATGTGTAGCACTAAGACTGATGTTTTCTCAAGAAGAGCTGCCACTAAAACATGTGTTTCAAGACATGAGGTCCTGAGGTTGAGGGCAAGATGACCTGTAGATTGTGGAACCGAAATCACTATTAATTCAAGTTAATGTAGTTAATTCAGTTAATTCTTGTTAATTCAAGAAGAAAGATTCACATCATGGACTCAGAGACCTCTGAGATTCCATAAAACACTTCTTTTTTTTTTTTTTTTTTTTTTAAAGATTTTATTTTTTCCTTTTTCTCCCCAAAGCCCCCCGGTACATAGTTGTGTATTCTTCGTTGTGGGTTCCTCTAGTTGTGGCATGTGGGAGGCTGCCTCAGCGTGGTCTGACGAGCAGTGCCATGTCCGCGCCCAGGATTCGAACCGACGAAACACTGGGCCGCCTGCAGCGGAGCGCGCGAACTTAACCACTCGGCCACGGGGCCAGCCCCCATAAAACACTTCTTATTAGCACCAGTCTCAGCTTTGTCCTCAAACTAGCAAAAGATATACTCTTGCACTGGTTATTTGGATTTTTGGAAGCAAATTACACCTATGATTACTCTGATTCTCATGATTTTAGTTTGAATGGACAGATTGTAGAAGACATCTATGTGTGTTTGTTTTTTCTTCTGAAGCTGTACACAATATCTGGTAATGAGGTGGGACTAGAGTTAACAGTGTGTTAAAGGAAGTCCTGAAGGCCCTTTATCAGAGTTTTTATTTTACCTGGTTTGTGGCCTGAGACTAATCAGATCACTCCTCTAGTTCCCAATGGTCCTATCTGTGATTTGTTTTTTGGGAGCTTGGGGGGTTTCAGGGGAAGGTTGGACCAGCTGTTTTCTTAAGGTCTTTCTGACATTAAATATTGTACCTTTCCTTCCTTTTATCCATGTCAACACATGCACACACACGTACCTCGAAGCTGTTAGATGAGTACCCCAGCAGGTACCCTACTCAGCATATGGCTGTTTCCTCTTGCAAGGTCATTGCTTGGCCTTACAGAGTAGTTCTCAAGGAACCCAATGGTATGAGAAGAACTAGAGCTTTACTGGGGTGGCCCTGTTGTATATACAAGAATGACGATCTAAATTCATCCTTAACTGAAGACTAATTTTGAGCCATTTTTCCAGAAGTTATTTTTCGAATATTAGTGGGAAGATGTTCTCCAAATATCCACTCCCCTTATCATATGCTTTCTTTGATACCACTTTTGCAATCACACCCCCTACAGCTAGGAGTATTTAATCTATTGCCAAAGGTGGATCATAGCTAACTCATACAAGTTTGAAGTATTGAAGTGTTCCCCTCTCTAGTTGTGAGAGTGAATGTGAGAAATTATTTAATATGTCAACATTTTTCCCCATAAAAAAAATCTTGTTTGCATATACATATGCTTGAATTGGATGGAAATGTGCTAGAGGCGTTGTGAAAATAACCATATTGAATTTCTTGCCTATTGGGAATGGAATGTTAGCTCACTGGACTGGAACTATTTTTTAGTAATTATGATTCAGTAAATTATTTTTATTGACTTAATATTTTAATCCAGATGCCATAAGCCAATGTAAGTAACCCATGGAGGAGAAATTTTGCCTCGGCTCTTAGCTATAGATTTTAAATTGGACAGTTCAAATGGGAAATCTCGATGGGACTGTAGAGTCTGAAAAAATTATGTTTGGAATAGTTGGGTTATATTTCAAAATATGGGCATAGCCTCAGTGCTAATAGACCAGACCTCCCATGCTTTGCTAAAAGAGCAAATACATCTTCAGTTTTATAACCATATTTTACAAAATCCAAGCCACTGCCTCAGGGTGATTTTCAATGAAATATTGACTTTAAAGAAATATAGATTTGACTCTTTGATAAATTCATGTTGTAAAAGTCTTGAGGTTCATTTCCTTTGTATTGCTGTATATTTTCATATTTTGCAATTTTTTAAATTTCCTCTGTGTTTTTGGTTATTTTCCCATTTTTATTTCTCATTTCATATATTAGTGTTTTTTCCCTTTCTTCTCTATGAAATTAGCTAATCGTTTGGTTATTTTATTGTTTCTTTTTTATTTTATAATGCCTTAATTGGTGCTTTCATTTTTATTCATTTCTCTGCTTGAGTTTATTTTGTTCTTTTGCTAACGGGATGCTCAATTCGTTTATTTTCATTCTGCCTCTTTAATATTAGAAAATATAAGGCTAGGAGTTTTTCTTTTTCTTATCATGAATTTCATAGGTTCTGATATGCAGTGTGTTCACAATTATTCTTTTCTAAATATTACATAATTTTGGTTTAGATTTTTCTTTTGCCCAAGAGTTGCTTCAGATAGAGGTGTTTTTTTTAATGTAATTTTCCAGTGGCAGCTTCCTTTGCTTTCTAATTTTGTAATTAATTTGTGGCATATTGAAATTTGATCAAAGACTTGTTTCATTGCTTGGATTTTACTGTGAAATTTGTTTGTCACCTACTATGTAATTAACTTTTGTGAATGTTCATGGCTCTTGAAAAGTATATTTATCTTCTACTTGCAGAGTACAGAATTCGAAGCACGCTATATACATCTACCTTATTAATTATCTTATTTAGGTGATTTATATATCATTTAAAAAATTTGATTGATCATGGGTTGAAAATATTGACCTCTTTAATGAAGAGGAAAGTGTATGAATAATTTCACAAGGGCCAGTAGTTATAAGGGCATACAATACTGTATCAATCAAGTTGGATTCACCTGTAGAAGTACCTTCTTCCACATTACTTTTTTTGTTGTTTTTTGGTGAGGAAGATTGGCCCTGAGCTAACATCTGTTGCCAATCTTCCTCTGTTTGCTTGAGGAAGATCTGCCCTAAGCTAACATCTGTGCCAATATTCCTCTATTTTATATGTGGGATGCCACCACAGCATGGCTTGATGAGTGGTATGTAGATCCACGCCTGGGATCCAAACCCGTGAACCCTGGGCTGCTGAAGCAGAACATGCAAAATTAACCACTACACCCCTGGGTCGGCCCCTCTTCCACATTACTTTTTGTGCATATCTTTCCAATTCATAAATGTATCTGTCCTCCAAAGGGAATTCAGTGGCTGCTGTTTTAAAATAAGCTTTTAATAGTTAAGTCCACTCAGCTCAATTAAATCCAAAAGATGTAAGTGATGTGCAGATGTGGGTATGACAAGACCATAGGATAAGAAGTTGTTTAATATCGTACACTTTTTCAGTAATAAAATCCAAATTAACGCTTACATCTTACTAGTCAAGTGGTTAGTGTTCACCGCCTCTTCTACCCCATCTCCATTAAAATGTGCCAAGAAAACAACTTGTATCACTGCTTGGTAGGGAATAAGAGTGGGGTTTTTTTTTTGTTTTAGCTGAGCTATCCCACTAAACCATCAACACAACTACAATTTATGTTATAAATACTCTCCCTTCTCTTCATACTGCCCAAGTGGAAATAGCTAGGGAGTAAATTATTTTTGTCATGCTACTTGAGCAGTAAAGCAGCCCTCAGCAAAGCAAATTCAGAAACAGAGGCGCCATTGTGTCCCACGGGGTGGCTATACAGGAAGGGGCGCAGAAGGAACCAAGCCACTTCAGGACTGTTCCTGAGACCATTGGATGTCCTCAGTGCCTTTTGTGGCCCCACTCTTCAGCTTCCTCAGACGCCCATTCCTTTTCCTTCCTTTCAATAGACATGAAATGTGTGCATGTTCTAGCATCCTTTCTCTTTGGTAACATGCCTTAGAAAGAAAAAGCTTTCAGTTTTTGAACTAGGCCTGGTTTTGAGCCAGGTTGTTGTTACTCTTTATTTACTATCAATTTATTAGTTATATTTATTATAATCAGAGTGTGTTAGATGTAAGAAATTCCTAAATGTTTCTCAAATCTTGACTTAAATATTAGAGATGCCTATCGGGAAACGATAACAGTTCTTCTTATTTATTTACATACATTTTCTCATTTAGTCCTATCATAACCTGATGATATAGGGATTATTATCCCATATTTTATAGATCATGAAACTGAAATTTATAGAGGGAAAATAAACTTCCTGTGATCACAGAGCTAGATGCCAGCCCAAGGCAGTAGCCATTAACCTAAGATTCTTTCCTGGTAAAATGAATCAGCACAGCTTCACTGCTGTAAGAAAGGTGACATATTTCCCCTTTCCTCTAGGTGTATGGCTGAAGTATTAAGGTCTGGTTCAGGTTTTTAAAATTCATCTCCATCATTATTTAGACTTTCCATAGCACTTGATTATTATCGTGATATTTTTTGCCGAGATTGAAAACGTATTGGCTAGAGAACCTTGTTTTATTATTGACTAACTTGATAAATGCAAGCAATTATTTGCTGCTTTTTTGATCTACTTTTCACTGTGGACTGAGCCCTGTGGTTAAGACCCCAAAAGCACTTACTCTTGTGGTATGTGGCTTTAGGTGGCACTTTAGAGAATAAATCCAAATCAGTCCAGTTTGAATTTGCTTCTTGGAAACTGCCCACAGCTGGGAGGGGTTCACTGGCTCAAGAAAGGCCACAGGTTGACACAGGACAGCTCAAAAACACACAGAAATTCTGACTGCAGTGTTGGCTCTAGGCCACAGAACGTGTTGCTTTTCTTATTTTCGTCGGGGGACCTATTGCTGCCTGATGAGGCTTTCTATACAACAGCATGAGCCTTTGCAGTTGGCTGGAATGATTGGACCCCAGAGGCTTCAGCCTCTTGGTGTCTTTTCTGCAGAAAAGCAGGCCCCATAAGGACTTATTACATAATGTAATTGTAATAATTAAAATGAAGACCAGGGGCCTTCGTGGCAGCTGAAGTTGTTAAATAAAATCTGGGCAGCTTAACCTACTGTTCTTAATTTACTGTGACCTCCTGTTTTTCTAGGGTGACAGAGAAGCAGAGCTGGGGCTGCCTTTTTCTCCTCTGTGTGACCGAAAGTCAACCATGGTTGCTCAGTCGCAAGTAGGTACGTGTTTGCCAGCCCTTTGGATGGAAGGAAAAACCAGAAAGAGATGTCTGGAAGTCAGCTCCGATGCTCCCGGTGGTTCTCTGGCTGGGAACCTGGGTCTGTTCTGCTATGCTGTGCTCACGGCCTTGGTTGGTTGGGTTGATGGAACCACTCTTCCCGTCCTTCTCCCTGGAATGTGGCTGGTTCATGGGAATGTTAAACAGTGACTCTCTGCTGTCTCCATCATTTCCTGCCAAGAGAAAGAGAGGCCTCAACTTTCCAAGGCGATGACAAAAATCAGTGGCAGGAAGCCCATTCTATTTTAGCCTCTCCATTCTGTGTGCAATACTGGAAGTCTCCATGGCATTTCTCCTCAGCAATTCTTTCCCCAGCTCTGTTTCCAGGACAAGCCCCATTTCCTGAATTATCCTACTCCCAGGAATGACTCTTTTTAAGTGTTTCTTTCCTTCTTTCCTTTTAAAAAACTTTTTAGCACCTTTTTAAAATTTTTTTGGTAAGAATAACTTTTGTACTGCTAATAACCATAATATATGTACATTACAAAACTCCTCAGATATGCAAGAGGGTACTGGTGCCATATAGAAATGAAATGTCATCAGTGACCTCCACCTTGGAAGAGTCTGAAGTCGTTCAAAAAATAAATTCAACAAAGATTTATTGATTTCTTTTCCACTTGTGTTTTGAGTACTTAGTCATTTTTGTCGTAATAATGTATTGAGTCTCTGTTAAGTGTAGGGCACTGCTAGGCACTATAACAGATGTTATAAAAAAACAAAGACAAATTTGACATGTTACCTGCTCTCAAAGACATTGAGCCAGTTTTGGGTGGTGGGCAAGACATTATGAAAACAAAATCTATTAAAGTGTTACGGTGCTAAGGTGGAGGTTTTGTACGTGGTGCGACCGAGTATGTGAACCGTTAGACCCAGAAAGACTTGTGGAAGGGTAATATTTGAGGTGAGTCCTAAGAGAAAAGTAGGCAGTATTTGTGCAAATGGTGATATGTGTTAGAGGTATGTTAAGGGTAGGTGGAAGGGCATTCCAGACAAAGGATTAGCATATACTAAGCAGGGAAATTTAAAACAGCCTTGTATGGTGGGGGAATTACAGACAATTCCATGACTGGCATAGTGTGAATAGAATGAAGTGAGGGACGTGTTTAGAGAGAAAATCAGACCTAGATTATATATTATATTAAGAATAGTTTATGATTTCCTGTAGGAAATGAGGGCATATCGAAAGAATTTTAAGTAAGGTTTTAAAATGTATAAATCAATGTTTTAGAATAAGAATCAGCAACTATAGCCTGTGGGATAAATCTGACTGACCACTTGATCTTGTAAATAAAGTTTTATTACAACACAGCTAAGCTCAGTCATTTGCATATTGTCTGTGGCTACTTTTGTACCACAGTGGCAGAGTGAAGGATTTGTCATAGATATGGCCCAAGAAGCCTAAAATATTTACTATCTGGCCCTATACAGAAAAAGTTTGCCGGCCCCCATGTTAGAAAGATGTCTCTATCAGTAGCTTGGAGGATTTTGACTAAGACTAGAGGCAAGGAAACCAGCTGGGTGCCTCCTGCAGGATTTCAGGGGAGAGATGCTAAGTGTGGGAACTAAGGTAGTACAGGGACTCTCCAGAAAAGAGATGGCATATAAGATATTCTGGATTCAGCTGGATGCAAAGGTAAGGTAAAGGCAGCAATTTAGATTAAGTGGTTGGACCATGGTCCCTTTTGTAAGGGTTGGAGGGAAAGCTGATGAGTTAGTTCTGGTTCGCACACGTTGAGTTTAACTTGTGAGAAATAAAATGTGAAAATAGTGTCATCAAACACTTCACTTTCAGCTTAAAATTATACTGCAATTTGCTAGAATACAAATTTGGCTATCAGTGTTTCCTTATCAGGACACTATGGGTATTTGATTGGGACAATTCTTATTTTGCCAATTACATTATAGGACTTTTAGCATCCGTTGTTACTGGGCATTAAAGGCTAGTATCACCCCCACCTGAGTCATTGTGAAAACCAAATAGGCATTTGTACATTTCCAAACACCATATTTCCTTCGATTGATATTTCGTTTCCTTCCAGCTTTCGTGTGGCTTTGTAAGGAATTACTACCAGTAGTTCCAGATCATATATTTTCTCCTGATGAGTCACAGAACATTTGGGTATTTTTGAGCTGTTGAGACAGTCACTCTAGCTCAATGTGGCAATCTCTCAAAGGTATCATTCCAGAATGACTCCTTTCCCAGTTTCTAACCCTGTTTCTTCCCACTCTGCCCTCTCCAATTCAGATGTGTCCCTGTATCTCAAAGTCAGCAGATCTAAGACTGATCCCATCGTTTTTCTCCCCAGCCACATTCTCCCTCATCATCTCTGTGTTCTCTGCTTTGCTGTTGGAGTCTCTGACAGATCCAACCTAGAGGCAGTACCACTTCCTGCTGTGCATGTATCTGTGCCTCCATTGTATTCCCACCTTACAACAGCATGGGATCCCACCTTCTTTACCTTGTCTTTCAACTATTGTAACAGCTTGTGAAATGATTCTCCCAGCCTCAGGCCCTGCTGTTCTCTCCTATCCATCGTACCAGGTTAATTTTCCCAAAGAACATTAAAAAAATCTTATTACAATGCTGCCCAAACATCTTGAGGGGCTTCTAGTGCCCATCTAAGTCCCAAGCCTTTATCCTGACACTTAGAAGCCTTCCTCCCTGAGCTGGTGATGACCTGAATTCTCAAGCTTTCCCTCCCCAGCTCCAAAAGAATCTCTAAGCCCCAGTCATTCTTCAGACACATCCTGCACTTCTTGCCATCCTTGACACCTTGCTTATTCCACCTGCTCCACCTAGAGTGAAGAGCCGTAGGGCTCCACTCAAACATCACAACCTCTATAAAACTGTTCACAGCTCTTTCCACGGGAGGGAAAATATCCTCCCTCCTTCCCTTCCCAGGGGCATTTATTTGGGCTTCTCATTTGGCCCTTTCCATATACTCAAGAGGTCATTTTTGAGCTCAATTGGTCTCTCCTATAAACTCCTTGAGGGCAGGCAGGTTGTGTTATGCATCTTTGTCTTTCATTCAGCACCCATCACAGTGTTTATTCCATGGTGGATGTTGAATATGTATTTCTTAAGCACTTTATTGGGCTATCTACTGAAAAGTCATAGGAAAGTTATATAGGAGAAATGGAACTGACTCATAATATTCAAATCAAAGAATATATTAAATGAATAAGACCAATCCATTCTCTCCTAATCTGATGTGGAGCTCCTATGTAGATGAATTTTAAAAGAAAAATATGACTCATCAGTTTCCATGGGAAAATATGGAAAGGCCCATTTAATATGTAGTTCCTCTGAAGCACTGCTGTTTCTCTTCAGGTTTTATTGATTTCATTGTGGAACCCACCTTCACTGTGCTCACGGACATGACCGAGAAGATCGTGAGTCCGTTAATTGATGAAACCTCTCAAACTGGTGGGACAGCACAGAGGCGTTCGAGGTCAGTGGAGAAACTTGTCAGATTGGCCTGTCCTTGAGGGCAGAATTCTTCTTTTGGAAGGGGTAGGGATGGTATTTCATAATGATGTTTGCCCTACCTCCTTATAAGAGAGATGTCTGCCTCTTTCTTCTTTTCAGAGGAGTTGAAGTTGTACTCTCTGTACTTTCCAGGCTGGCCTGGAAAGGAGTGACCAAGGTCCAAATCATGACCGGCAGGTCCTCGGTACAGCCCCCTGTCCCATTCTCTCTCGGTGCCTTTGCTCATGGCAACACCAATAACTCTGCTTTTACCTGCTGTGCCCAGACAGTCCTCGCTCCAATACTCCAAAAAGAAAGTACCACTGATCAGAATTATCACAAGAAATGAAAATGATTTTCCTTTCTAGGTTCTGGAAGAAAATGATGTAGAGAAAAAAACGGTGAAATTTTAAATCGCCTTCTGCCACAGCATCATTATATTGAGCATAGATTAGTAGTTAAAGAGTATAGGCTCTGGGGCCAGCCCCATGGCTTAGTGGTGAAGTCCAGTGCACTCCACTTCAGCGGCCCGGGTTCACGGGTTCAGATCCTGGGTGTGGACCTACACCGCTTGTCAAGCCATGCTCACATACAACATAAAGGAAGATTTGCACAGTTGTTAACTCAGGGCTAATCTTCCTCAAGCAAAAAAAGAGGAAGATTGGCAACAGATGTTAACTTAGAGTGAGTCTTCCTCACCAAAAGAAAAGAAAAACATCTAGCCTCTGGAGTCAGATTGCTGGGGTTAAACATCCTGATCCCATTGCTTCTTAGCTGTACAATCTCAGGCAAGTTGCCTCAGTTTCCTCATCTGAGAAAATGTGGATTATAATACCCATAGGTTTCAGGGAGGATTAAATGAGTTATTCAGTCTATGTAAAGCCCTTAAGACAAGGTCCAGCACAGAGGAAGTGCTAGTACGATAAAGCTGACACTTAGTCTTTATTCATGGTACTACTGTTAGTGGTACCTGGCTTTGACATAAAGGAGAAAGGAAAGAAATAAGGCAAATAGAAAAAAGAGAAGAAACGAGCAAGAGAAGGAATAAATAGGGAAAAGAGAAGGCAAGAGGAATATTAAGACAGTGGGACCCTAGAGATGCTCAAGGTGGATGGACTCAGTCAAGGCTGCTAACAAGGAGGACTGACGCCCCCTGCTGAGTCCCACAGCCCCACAGCTCTGCAGCATTGGGCTGAAACGTCCTCTACTTATCTGCTCAGCCTTAGTTGTCATTCAGTGGGTTTCCATTCATGTCAGTCACTGCTTTAGCCATCTAGAAGTGTGTGGTACTTCTTTAAATTTACCCAGAAGGGTGACACTTTCCCTATTTGCAAAGTTGCCTATGTTAAAGATTACAGTAATGTTCATATTTACAAAAGGTCTCTTGCACAACTGATCTCCCACAATCTCCAAGCCATCTGTGCCTCTCCACCTCCCCCCAGGAACGTAAGGAAATCACCTTCCCCTGGCCTTGGGGATCCTGGAATCAGAGGCACCCAAGTACAGGGGGAAGTGGAGCTGGAGAGAAAGAGGACCAAGTGGTTGGGTAACTTGGAATCATGGTCATTGTGGAAGCGGGTGGGTGAACTGTGGAACCAAGTAGAAGTCTAAGTTCAAATTAGTTAATTTCAGAGAGTAGAGAACAAAAAATTCATGTGAGTGGATCCTAGTCATATTGAAAAAGAGAAGAGACCAAGCAACAGAAAAGAAATATGGAAATATTTCATGAGGACAAAATCTTGATTTTTTTCCTGCTGAAGATACAGAATTTCCCACCAGTCACATATGGAAAATAAGATAATCACAAGCCTCAGGACCCAGGAATTTCACAGCAATAACTTGATGAGCACTAACTGCTCCTCTCGTGGGCTTCCTCGTTGGCATACATTGTCAAACATTAACCTTCCTCTTTGGTGTGATATTTTTGTCCTCCAGTTTGAACAACATCAGTTCGGCAGATGCCAAGCGATCAGGCGTCAAGAGCACTGGCTCAGAAGGAAGTGCCCCAATCAACAATTCCGTCATCCCTGTTGACTATAAGAGTTTTAAAGCCACGTGGACTGAGGTGGTGCACATCAACCGGGAGCGATGGAGGGCCAAGGTGCCCAAAGGTAACATGCCCCCGGGTTATCTTCCAGGAGACCTGTCCAAACCACTCAGCACCCACTCCAAAACAAGGCTTTGCCACCCCTGATTTTAAGTGTTGCAAATGAATCACAATCTTAGGATATAGATTCAAATTGCTGAAAGTTAGAAGCTACCATCTTTTGCTCTTCATTCTATCTGAAACTCAAGGATGATAGAATGGTGCAGACGGCCAAGCTTTTTGACAGCATGACCTTTGTGCTAGGTGACTGAACTCCTTTTCTTGGGATGAAGATTCTACAGAGGATGGGTGTTGTTATTTCTTGGTTTCTGCTGAACCATCTTGTCACTATTATTTCATGTCATGTGGCACAATTATGAGGCTTTTATTCCTTTTTTTATTTAAGTAAAGCCTGGCCGGCAGCCACCTCGGCCATTATACTCGGATAGAAGGAGCTTTCATTTCCTCACATGCATTTTTATCTTCCATTCATGTTCACAATGTCCCTTCAGTCATCTCAGACTCGTCTTCTGAGATGAAGGTAACTTGCAGGTGAACAGAAATTCACTGAAGCAAACATCATCAAAATTCAGATCAGAAAAGTCGTGACTCTTGGTACTATACACAAGATACGATTGAAGTGCATTTGTTTCTTGAAAGCTGACGTTCCTTTGTTCACGTGTGCGTTTGTGTTTATTGAGCATGTGTTACACGATCAACACACCCTACATGCTCGTGCTATCGTCTAGGTCAGGACACATACCTGGGAGAAGGGATATGAAGCTGTGAGGCCTGATTCCAGGGAGGGACACAGTCCTGGATGGCTCTTGGTGCCCAGTGAGGGGCTGATCCCAGTGGATTTTGTGGAGGTGAGCCTTCAACAACGGTTTTTGCTAACATCTATCAAGTGCCTACTGTGTGTCAGGCTCTGTGCTCCAAGAAGGGTGCAGAGATGAGTAATATACATCCTTGTTCTCAAAGCTGCTAGTCTCTTTTGGGGAGGGAACGTTACTATAGAGTTTCTGTCAAAGGAATAAGAGGAGTTCGGTCAAGGCCTTGCACTCATCGCCAGCACCCACGGGCTCTGAGCCCCAGATCCTTATAGCAACAGGCAAGGAGAATTTTAGCCCCAGACACAACACCCCACACTTTTATCCACCCTGTGTCCATGGAAGTGAGAAAAAGGGTGGGAGTAGCCAGGCAGAGCATGTTCTGGCAGTCTTGATCCCTCATATATTGGGGGGCTACTTCTAGAGTGGGAGAGAAGAGACCTCACTGTTGGAATTATTCAAAGGCCAATTATTCAACCACTGTGACTTGTCCACAAAATCCTATCCAAGTGGCTGCTCATTTCAGGTAGGGCAAAGGGTTTATATTTATGGCACTTTTGAGGCATAATTGGGCCTTATCATTTTGGGACAGATGTTGCACCCTGAGCTGTGGAGGGAGCCCACGCCTCTTCCGTATTTTAAGTTTAGCCTCTCAGTCTATTCATATACTTTAGACATTGAAATCCTCCTTGTTGGCAGGCATTGCAAGCAGCGATGGCAGCTACTGCATCATCTCAAAAGAAGTACACTCATAATCAATTACACTCATTACACTTGAAAATCCAATTCCTGACAACACGCAATTTGAAGAGGTACTTCAAAATAATTTGTTTGCAATTATCTGGCTTCCTAAAATTACCCTCTGAAACTGATCACCTTGGGGAGCATTAAACAGTTTCTTTTCCAAGGGAAAACTGGCCCTTTAAAAATAACTGATAAATAAGTGCTAATGATTCTAAACTCTGTTAGGTATGCTGATAGAGATATGCTTAAGCTATTTTGGAAGAACAAAGGGGCTTATTGCTAACCCTGCTTGGAGTGTGTGGGAAGGCATCTTGTAACCAGGCCTTGAAGGATGCCTGGGGTTAAGCCCTGAAGGAGGGATTGTATTTGGAAACGGGGAATAAGGAGAAAGGGGATGGATGAAGGCACAGAGACTGAGTTATTTGTATTTTGTGAGAGGATGGTTTAGGTATCAAAGCAAATTTCCATCAGTGGGGAAAGGGGAGAATTGAATCTCTATTTGCCCTGTGTGCTCCTTGACCAATTCAGGTAGATTCTTTGAGAAAATTCCCTTTTGGGGATGATAATACATATCATGGAGTTGATGCAAACAATGGAAATAATGCACATAAAGCACTGAAAACAGAACCTGCATGTGGTTAGTGCCTGATACTTGGTAGCTGTTATTTTAACACATTGGAAAAGAAAGTTAGAGGTGCGAGTGCAAAGTTGAGATGATGTGTTAAGAAAAAAAACTATAATATTTTATATCATTTTCAGCCTCCTTAGTAATGCTGTCAGCTGGTTGGCAGGTTTTAAGAAATTCAGTTGGCATCTGTTTTTCTGCTGGTGTCCAGTTTGTACTAGATTATTCCAGGCTGTTCTACTCATGTTCTTTTTTTTTTTTTAAAGATTGGCACCTGGGCTAACAACTGTTGCCAATCTTCCTTTTTTTTTTCCCCCAAAGATTGGCACCTGGGCTAACAACTATTGCCAATCTTTTTTTTTTTCTGTTTTTATCTCCTCAAACCCCTCTTGTACACAGTTGTATATCTTAGTTGCACATCCTTCTAGTTGTGGGATGTGGGACGCTGCCTCAACGTGGCCTCACGAGCAGTGCCATGTCCGCGCCCAGGATCCGAACCCTGGGCCACTGCAGTGGAGCGCGCAAACTTAACCACTCGGCCACGGAGCCGGCCCATACTCATTGTTCTTTTTCACCAGAAAACTCTGATTTCAAGAGAGCCTGCCCTGCATGGGGCACTCGAACATATGTTGTTATTGAATTGATGAGAAATGGGATTGGATCTAAAATCTTGGTTTTATTAACCTACTTGATTTGCAAAGCTAGTTGTTAGGAAAGATTAAACCAACATTTTTTTACAGCTCTTATGGCTGAAAATCATTATTCCGTTACAAAGATGTGTAGGAATAACAATTTGCAAGACTGATCAATATTGATCAATTTGTATGCAGTATTTAATACTTTTCAAACATTTTTTTCTGGTATAAGAATAATATGTGTTTAGGTTACAGGGCTGAAATATAAGTAAAATATATAAAGAAGAAAATAAAAGTCACTCATAACCTCTCCAGCCAGATAAAACTATTGTTGAAATTCTGACATAATTCTTTTTGATTTATTATGCATATATATAAGTAAAAATTTTCCCCATAAATTGAGATCATAGTATAATATTGTCTTGTATTTTACTCTTCTGTTTCTATTTTGAGCATTTTATTCTGATACTGAATATTCTTAGAAAGTATGATTTTTTTTTTAAAGATTGGCTCCTAAGCTAACAACTGTTGCCAATCTTTTTTTTCGTTTTCTACATTTTCTCCCCAAATCACCCCAGTATATAGTTGTGTATTTTACTTGTGGGTCCTTTTAGTTGTGGCATGTGGGACACCGCCTCAGCATGGCCTGACGAGTGGTGCCCTGTCTGCGCCCAGGATCCGAACCAGTGAAACCCTGGGTCACCGAAGCGGAGTGCGCAAACTTAACCACTCAGCCATGGGGCCAGCCCCAGAAAGTATGATTTAAATAGTTACATTGTGCATAATATCGTAGTTGAACCACTCGGTTTTTACCGAGCATTTTGGTTTTCAGGTCTTCATTATTGTGTACAGATGGTCCCTGACTTATAATGATTTGACTTAATTTTTCAGCTTTACAATGATGCAAAAGTGATAAGCAGTCATTAGAAACCATACTTCGAATTTTGGTCTTTTCCCGGCTCACGATAGGCGATACAGTACTATCTTGTGATGCAAGGCAGCAGCAGTGAGCCACAGCTCCCAGTCAGCAACGGGATCTCGAGAGTGAACAACGAAAGCACTTACAACCATCTGTCCCCATTCGACCATTCTGTTTTCACTTTCAGTACAGTATGCAATAAATTACATAAGATTCAACACTTTATTATAAAATAGGCTTTGTGTTAGATGACTTTGCCCAACTGGAAGCTAATGTAAGTATTCTGAGCATGTAGGCTAGGCTATGATGTTTGGTAGGTTAGTTGTGTTAAATGCATTTTTGACTCACAATATTTTCAAGTTGCAATGGGTTTATAGGGACGTAACCCCATCATAAGTCGAGGAAGATCTGTATAACATTGTTATGAACATACAAGTTCAAAAGTCTTTGAGCCTACCTCTATTTATCTGGGATAAATTTCTAGATGTTGAATTCCTCTGTCAAAGTAGATGAAAAATTTTAAAGCTTTTGATATAAGTTATCAAATTCTGCTTTGGAAATTTTTTTTTTTAACCAGTGTTTTCTCCCAGTAGAAGTATAGGGAGAGTACCTATTTCCCTATATTTTTCCTTTCTTCATGTTTCCCATTAGGATGTTTATATTTTTATTATTGACTCATAGTAACTCTTTATATATTAAGGATGGTAATTCTTCAGTTGACAAAATATCTTTCAATTTCTGCGCTACCTCAGTTTTTCATATGCCTTTTAAGTTTGCTTATAATCTGTTTTTATACATCCTATTTTTATTTCACTAAAGATTACCTTTACATTCATTATTGAGTTATGTCTCTATCAATGTAGATGTCAAATAGTATATAATGATACTCCTTTGCAAATACTGAGAAATTTATTGGATTTTTACTTTATTTCCTCTGTCATTACTCAGTTTTTATTGAAATGATATGAGATTTCAATCTAGGTGATTATAAGCAAATTGTTATTTTATAATTAACTTATCCTTTAATATTATTTTTAATATTTGCATCAAGTTTTATATCTACCTTAACAATTATTTTTATTTAACACTAAGATTTACTGGTTTTATTGTACTTCATTAACATGTTTTCTCGTTCTTGAGTTTTTAATATTGATTGAATTTTTCTGTCAGTTGGAGCACTTCTTTGGCTGAAACTTTCAGAAAGGTCTTGTCGGAATACCTTCTGAGTCCTGAGAAGCATAGAAATACCTTTCTGTTGTTCTTATATATAATTGAGAGTTGTCTATTCAAAATTCATATAGTATTTTGGTTGTTTTTTTTTCATGAGTCAATTTCTCTCGTTTTCTTTTTCTCTCCTTGTTTGTGGGTAGTTTAAATAGGCATTTCAGAAAATTATATCAAGGGACAACTAGCCCAATACCATTTTTATCCAGGAGCCTATGGTATCATTATTCCAAAAGACAAATTAAATGGAGAAATCAATGTATTTCTCCAAGACTGCGCAGACATTCAAGGTGGGGTAGAACCAGCTCTCAGGAAGAATGTAGCTTGTGGATCCTGAGGGCTCTGCTCTACCTTAACTCTATAGCTGCCTGCTTTTGGCCACTTTCATAATGAGTCAGTCACATCATCACAGATGGTCTAAAATGGAAATAAAGAAGAAGTGGGATCAAGCTACGATGTTTGGTTCCTGCTAGTCTAGAAGCCTATGAGTGCCAGAGGTGTTAGATCTAAGACCTGAAAGTTAATCCTCTCTCTATATGTCATCATTGGAACCTGTTAGCACGTACAAATTAATTGTGCTCTTCCCTCCTTTTTCCCGTCGTAGGAAAGTTTTATGTGTCTTAATAATTTCACTCAGAAAATATAAAGGAATCTGGTACAGCAGAGCAGTTGTACCTCCTGTAAATTTGTTTTCTTTTTTCTATGTTTGCTTGTTTTTGTCTACTTATTTTAAGTAGTACCACTGGGCGCTGATGGCTGATCACACTGATATCAGATATTTCATAGATACAAGAAAGAGACAGAAGTAGAGTAGAGAAGTTGAAGAACATTGGGGAGTCACCGTTGGGAACACAATTGCTGCAGGAAAAGGAATCATGTAGCGGGGCAGGCTCATACTGGATCTGACTATGATGTCAGAAGAGCTACCATTCGTTAATCTAAATGTGAATTGCCTGCTGTCAGCTGTAGTTGAGCAAAAATGGATTTGTTTCTGAGATGTACCCCCCCGCACCAGTTTTTTTTTGCTAGAGTTTCCATAGAAAATTGGTCTGACTCAGTTGTCAGATGAATTTTTCTTGCCCAGATAATATTTTATGCTCTGTTGTAGCAAACCGCAGTTTAACACCTTCAGCTTTTATCAAAATTACTTTTAACTTGGGGATATTTTGAATGTTGAAAGTTTGCTACAGATTCACTGGAGGTTCTGGGAGGGGATTATAAATCATTTTACCTGATGCCTGAGTATGAGTGAATTCTCCTCCCCTTTGCCTCAGTTTCCCTCTCTATAGTAAGCACAGTCATCTTTTTACTCACTGAATTAGTGGTTAGGGAAATTAACATTTGTCAAATGACTAACTCCTCTGGATAGGACTTCAGACTGTGTACACTTTCCATATTTTACACCAGTCTAGATTGCTGACGATGGAATATGTGCAAGTCAGGTTCATTGGCAGATAAGGTGAATCACACCCGTTGTGTGCTTCATTTAGTCAACGAATACTCCATGAGCATCTGATATGTTCCAGGCACTGTACCAAGCATTGGGAATTCAGTGATGGAGATGACATTTGACCTTTGTCCTTGGGACACTACAGAAGGATGGGGGAAGTCTGGATGAGCTTTCTAGGAGCCCACAGTCTGCTGAGAATGCCGTCTCACCATCTTTTTCTTCAAGGGCATTCTTTTACTCTTTGGTTGTATCTTTCTTGTATCTTTCTGTAAAAGTCAGAAGACATTATACTATATATGCACATAATTATGTTATTTTGTAGAAACATCTTTCCTTATCTTTTCATTGTAAATTATAAATACATCCTGTTGGAAAGTAGAATGTCACAAAACACTGAATGGCAAACATTTAAAATTTAAATCAATGCTTGTCAACACAATCAATGCTTGTGTGTTAGAATCATCTGGAGAGCATTTAAAATATCCTATTCTTGCCCCTTTCCCTCCAGCATCTGATTTAATTTGTCTGGAGTGAGGCCAGGGCATTGGTTTGGTTGTGTGGATGGATAAATCAATGAAAGGATGAATAAAAACTTCATAATATAGTAAGGAGGACATCTGAGCCAGGGAACTATAGGGACAGGAAAAGTAAAATGAACCCAGAGATCACAGACAGCCACAAAATGCAATGCCATACAGCCCAGGAACATGTGTACCTGGACCACGTTTCGGCTTTGTACCCTTTAGCAGCCAAAACAAAGAGAAACGAACACATGCATAACCACTCTGGTGCCCATTAGGTTAAAAACAAAACTTTTTGTCTGTGAAAGCCAGCTTTTTTCAGGGCCAAGACTAACCAAGGGAAGTAAAGAGGACCCCTGATAATGAGGTGTGGGACATTTTGAACACATCTAAGGACAAAATGCAATAATGCTTTTCATAATGGAGATTGATGGCTCAGTCTAGAAGGCCTTTTAAGTGAATTAAATGCTAAATGGGATGAATCTTTAGACTGAAGGCAGGACTGGTCTGTTAGGTGCCTTCCATTTATGTCACTTCCTACAACGCAGCTCCACTTTATTGCCTCCAAGGCCCTGAATGATGTCAACCCTGCCTACGTTGGTCATTTGACCACATCGTCTGTTACTAACTTTGCTAAATTTATGTTAGCCTTACTGGCTAACTCAATGTCTCTTGAATATACCAAGCTCATTCCCACCCCATGGTCTTATGTTTTTTCTTTCCTCTGCCTAGAATTTCCTCTGATTACTGCATGGCTAGCAATTCATCATTTAGGATTTGGTCAAATGTCACCTTCTTCAGCTCCTTATGTAATGCCACCTCCCTCCCTATCCTGATCACGTTCCATCATATTACTCTGCTTTACTTTTTTGCAAAGCCCTTTCACCATCTAAAATTATCTCAGTGGTTTGTTTGCTTAATAACGGTCTTCTCTGCTCCATAAGTCTTATTGCTTGCTGCTATCTTCCCAGTGCCTAAAATGTGCTCGACATGTAGCTGCTCAATAAATATTAGTTGAATGAATGAACCAATTTTTTCATGAATGCTTGGCCATAGGCACTTATGCTGTGTTTTTGGTTAAACATAAAGCCAGACCCTTTCATAGTCAACTGAATTGGAAATAAGGCTGACATTGTCTCAGTAAGGAAGAAAACACAGACCAGGGTAGCAGGCCAAACTAAAGGCCACCTCTCATCTTGTGGACGGTTTGAAGACCGTGTTTTTGTCAGCCTTAATTATCCTCTTCCTACTTTTCAATTCACAAACAGTGGCCTGAAAGTGTATTGTTCTCATGGTGTTTATTTTCCCTTTTTTTTTGTAATCAATTGTTTATGTTTAAACTCCAGATCCGAAGCAAATGTACATGAAACTCCAATTTTTACTGTGTCTGTGGGCAATTTTCATAATGTCTCTGAGCCTCGATTCCACATTTGTAAATTAGGGTTACCATATTAGTAGCTGCCACATAAAGTTGTTTCGAGAATGAGAGGAAGTAATCCTTGAAAAGCACTTAGCTTAATCCCTGATATGGAGGACACACTCAAGAGAAGCTATTGATCATAATAATAATATTAATAATGCCAGTTACAATATTGGTTTATTAATTATTATTATCCTTATTATTACTTCTTCCCTGCTTCTTCTTCTAATCCACTGTTTTCACAAATGACATCAGTATGAACTGGTTTTATTGGTTTTCTGTATATACATACCAATCTGACTTGAATTAACCAAAAATATATCCCAAACACTCAGTAAACACCTTGGGTCATTTTAGTGTATTAATTCCCGGTGCAAATACTTGCTTTTGTTCAAAGAGGCAATTCTCCTAATGTCCTGACCTCTTTTTATCTTTTCTATGCCTTTCCTAACTTGCCACGGCTGCAGAGGAGAAGGCCAAGAAGGAAGCGGAGGAAAAGGATCGCCTGGCCGCAGAGGAGAAGCAGAAGGAAATGGAAGCCAAAAGCCAGGCTGAAGAAGGCGCAGCTGGCAAAGCTGAGAGAAAGACGTCTGGTGAAACTAAGAATCAAGTCAGTGGAACCCGCACAAACAAAAGCGACAACCCTCGTGGGAAAAATTCCAAAGCGGAGAAGTCTTCAGGAGAAAAGCAACAGAATGGTGAGTGGAACTGTGCTGGTGAAAGGCTCTTTTTGGGCTGTTAAGGACATGATGAATGGAAACTGGCAAACAACTGCCCCTCTGAGGACGGTTCACTGGGCGGGGCTTCCCTGATCAGCCAGCTGCTGCTGATTCACCTCACCGGGCTGTGGATCCCGTTAGGATCCCAGCAAAAGCAGCCAGAAGCTTGCTTGGGCCATTCTCTCCGGGGAGATTAATTCCTTTCGGGCCCTTCCCAGCTGTCCTGGAGACTCTAGCCAGTGTCTGCCTACCCACTGGGTAAATTAGTATTAACAATCCCAGCACATTCCTGAGTGCTTACTGCCAAAATGAGTGAGTGGAAAGTCAGGCTTCCCTTATGCACCATTCCCCTAGCAGGGCCGGGCTGCAGGTCTGCCTAAGGTCTCTTCCTGCAGTAGATGTCTACACATCTGTAGGTGAATAAATGCACATTAGGGTCACCTTGGACCGAAGGGTTTCCTCGGATGCAGGGCTTTCAGTTTTAAAACCAGAAAAGTTCCAGGCGAACTGGGATGAGCTGCTCACCATCTTGTGCATACAGTTGATGATTTCTTATATTTAATGAAACAAATATGTCCTGGTTAACAACTGTGTGCCAAGCACTGTGGTTGGCACTGAGATTTTAGAAATAGAAAGGCCACAAGAAGTGCACAGTCTCACAGGGGATATGGACATCCTCAGAAATAATGCTGAGCAAGTAATGGTGGTGGCATGGCACATAAAATGCCCAAAGGACAGGTGCAAAAAAGAGGCATTGGCTTTGTTGGGTCTGGAGGTTGCAGGATGGAGTAAATGTCAAAGGAAGCTTCAAGAGGAGGTGATTGATGTCTGAGCTGGCTTTTAAATGCTGAGCAGAGCAGATGGGAGGCAGGGACTTCTCACCAGAGAGAGCAAGAAGAGCGAAGGCACAGGGGCGTGGAGTTGGTTACCCTGTTTTCAGAAGAACAAGAAGTTGAGAGTCTCTGGAGCTTTCAATTGCCAGGTTGTGGCAAGGTAATTCAGCAGCCCAGCAGACCTGGAGTCAAGTCACAGCTATGCCTCTCACTTCTTGGTGGCCTGGGCCAAATTCCTTACTTTCCACTGCCTCTGTAAAATGTGCGTAATAATACCTGCTCACAGCAGGGGCCACTTGTGAACTTCTAATGATAATGATGATAGCAAAAACAACAAAGACAATAAAACGACTAGAATAGCATTTATTGACTATCCATCAGATGCTGTTTTAAGTTCTCTCTTTACATCTTCATTCTCTTACCTGCCTGGCAGGGCCGGGTGATCTACTCTGAACCATGCTCTACTATTATCCTAGATAGCCTGGGTAATTAGAAATGCGGAGAAAGTGCTATAGCGCGACACTCTCCCATTATTTTTTACAGTTAATATATATAGCATGTAGAGTCAGAAAACAATATTCTAATACACATAATAATGATAATGGCTCCTATCATGTTCTAAGAACTTTGCATAAATTCCCTCAGATAACCCCCGTGACACCCCAGGAGACAGGGAAGGCTGTCATCTGACTTGTCCAGCCCGTCAGCAGCCTGGTTCTAGAGACTGTTGATAACTAGTTTGCTTTGTATTCAAGTGCATCGTAGTCCAGAAAATACGTTCAGTTCAATACGAATTTATGATACACCTGCTGGAGTTTTAGAGGGCGGTGCAAAACACCCCACTGCCCCTCCTGAGGTCAAAACCAACTGAGAAGGAGGTGCTGGAATCAGAGAGTCAGTGATCAAAATGTCAGCTCCACTGCACCTGGAGCTGAACTGGAAAATGCGGACCTGGTCAGCTGAGCATGGGCCTCTTCACACGTCTGCCCTGAACTGAGCTGAGCAAACCAGACGCTGACAGAGCAGTGGGCTCAGGAGGTGTCCCCTCACCTCCATCCTAGCACCCAGCAGGCTACTTCTGCAGGGACAGAAAAGGTGTGTGTCTCGTGGAAAACACATCTCAAAGACGGCTGGGGACTGGAGAAATGGGCTGAGCTGTGCATACTCAACTCCTCCTTCTATATGAGTCTCTCCTTCCCACGGGAGCACTATGTAAGGGCTGGTGAGAGAAGCAAGATGTGTTTCTTCCCTACTTTTTTCTTTTAGGAAAGTGGGTTAAAAATGTCTTTCCTTTAATAAAAACAGCCATTATAATATCATTAACATTTATTGAATGCGTGACAGGTGCCAGACAGTGTACATGAAATTTTACCTACATTAAATCGTTTAAAAATCCTAATAAAGGGCCCGTCCATTGGCATAGTGCTTAAGTTCATGCATTCCGCTTTGGCGACCCAGGGTTTGCTAGTGTGGATCCTGGGCGTGAACCTATGCAACACTTATCAAACCATGCTGTGACAGGCATCCCACATATAAAATAGAGTAAGGTGGGCATGGATGTTAGCTCAGGGCCACTCTTCCTCAGCAAAAAAAAAAAAGAGGATTGGCAGTGGGTGTTAGCTTAGGAACAACTCTGTGAGGTAGATAGACTCCTTTACGTTTTCTGATGTGGAAACTGAGACTCAGAGAGGTTATGTCACTTGTTTGAGGTCAAGCAACCACCAAGTAGAGATTTCAGGTCAAATTCAGGTCTATATGAGTCCAAATTCTATATTCCATAACCAGCATGTCCCTATTATTTGCAAGTTTCCTACTCTCTCCTATTGAGGAGAGTAGGAAATCAGAGAAATATTGAAACTTAGCTCCTGTCCACAAGAAGCTTATAATCTGTTTATTCCAGGGGATGTCACACCTTTTCTGTAAAGGACCAGGTAGTAAATATTTTAGGCTCTGTGGACCATTCAGTGTCTGTTGCAACTACTTCACACTGCCATTTTCTCACAAAAGCAGCCGCAGATCGTATGTAAACAAATGAGCGTGGCTGTGTTCTAATGAAACTTTATTTATGAAAATTCAAATATGAATTCTATATAATTTTCATGTCATTAAATATTCTTCTCTCTTTTTTTTTAGCCATTTAATAATATAAAAAGCATTCTTAGTTTATGGGCCACATAGGACCAGGCATTGGGGCCAGGTTTGGCCCATGGGCCATAGTATGCCACCCCCTGGTCTGGTCAAGGAGAGAAACCATTGAAACCAAGGCCGGTCACGAAGAAGCTCATCAATTCTACAAGAGAGGTTTAAATGAACACCCAGAGAGGGCAGAGGTGGCAATAAGTTATTTTGAAGACAATTAGGGGGAAAGCCTGAAAGAAACAAACAGAAGCCTCAGTCTTCAACTAGGTTGGGTTGATTTCACAGCTGTGTTTATTTCCCAAAGTGAGCGATAGTGTACCATTTCTCTTAAAAATTAAGTATTAAATAAGAAGTGGGAAAAGAAATCAATTTAGAGCAATAATAAGAAAGGCTAATGGTGGTGCGGGACTGTGTTACAGCAGCCTAATTAAAATGATTTATAACTGCCCAGAAAGACTCTCTTGTTTCCCCCTGTTTATTGAATAACAGCTCACATTGGCCATTACTCCATATATAACCCGTGGGAAATTACCTAATGGATTGTGTTCAGGGAACATCATCAGACAAACGTGTCACTTTCCCAGCACCCCTCTTTGTGGTCGCCTAAAATACTTCCAGGATAGAGCTGAAGAACATTGGTTAAGTGGAGTTCTATAGGTTTAGTCTCCTATCAGCAATTATGGGATCCCCTAAGCTTTGTTCTCCATCAAGGCACATCCTCTCTCAGCCTCCCCAACACTGACTGAGGAGAAGGCATTCTGCCATGGGCTGCTGGCTAGCATCCAGCAAATAAAACTGCTCCTGCTGACTCCTGGAAAACATCCTGTTCTTGCTGCAGCTGTGGGTAAAGCTCCAGTCCAGGGAAACGTTGAAGGTTTGAAGTATTGTGAAGGTTCATTTAGGAAAGAAAGATCCTTTTCCTGCAGGGAATTAATTTGACAAGAGGGCTTAAGATCCTTGAGTCTGTCTCTGGCGTCCTTGAAACAGGGAAAAGCCAGTAGTTTCTGAACTGATTCGTGGGCCCTCCAAAGGAATCCATCTGTTGGCCAGTGGTGGTGGTGAAAAGTGATGATCACGTCCTTCACTTAAGCTCCTCCTGCTTGTGCCCTGGCCAGAGTCAACTCCGCTTCTCCTTAGTTCCTCCGGCCAGTTCATCTCATTTCAGAATCAACAAAAAGAGGAAACTTGGAGCCTTTATTGACTCCTGACTTAGCTTGGGCTTTGTCAAATCCCATTAAAAGTATTTGCTTTGTAGAATACATCACAACCCAGAATGGTCTTGAATTATCCATAGGTAATCATTTCGTTGTAAGTCTGTAGGCCAAAGGCATTTAGGAGATGGCAATGGTAAACAGAAGCCTGAAATCTAAAATTTACGCTTCATCAGGAAGCTGCAAAATATAATAGTTGGGAGGTTAGCCTTGAGAACCAGCCTCATCTGTGTATACTGTAGTAGATTACTCTCTCTGTGCCTCAGGTTCCATAGCCGTACAATGGAGATGATACGAGTTTCACATCTATTTTCCGCAAGTTGCTTTAAGCAGAATCACTTTGTCGAAAGATCAGTTGGCCATTTGTCCAAAAACTGTCAGACAGATGTCTTAAACCAGATCTGCAGTGGCCAACCAGAGCAGTTTTGCTGCTAGAGGGAGATGCACATGCAAGGTTAGGGGCAGCGGTGGGGCCCAGGTGGTGTGAGAAACAGGCGGGCGGGCAGGCCACTGCACTCAGTGCAACTGGACTGACCAATGTGTGACAGAGTGGCTGCAGGGAAGTCGAGGAAAAACTCAAACTTGAAAAACATCTACAATCATTTGATGAGATTGTTATTCAGCAAATTGATCATTTAGTGAATTAATCTTTGATGAATCCGCCCACTATCAGTAATACTACCTCCAAAATGGGGTTGTTATAAGAATTTAATGAAATGATGCACGCAGCATTTAGCACGCTGCCTGGCACAAGGAAAACAAAAAAGATACTGTCTTGCTCCTACCTTGGAGCACTGCTCACTCCTTCCTGGTTGCAACATTGTTAGGGTCTTTTTGCTTCACTAAGTACCAGTATTTTAGTAGCTAATGTATTTCTTGGCTTTATGCAGGCTAAAAAGAAAGCTGCTGTTAGTAAGATTGGTGAGAAAAATATTCAAAACTTGAGAATGAGGCTAGGGGAGGGGGTACCATGACCTTTCAAGGTCACACTGGCATACAGTTGAACAGACCTGCCTGAGAATTATTTAATTGTCTATCTTAGACAAGGGTCAGCAAAGTTTTTCTGTGTAGGCTCAGGTAGTAAATATTCGTGGCCTTGCACGTCTCTGTTGTAACTATTCACCTCTACTGTTATAGCATGAAAGCAGCCACAGACAAGGTATAAATGAACATGTGTGGCTATGTTCCAATAGAACTTTATTTCCAAAAACAGATAGCAAGCCAGATTAGCCCATGCGCCATAATTTGCTGACCCCCTTTTTAGGAGAACATGACTGTATTTAACTTTGTCATTTACTGTTTGAATCAAGCCTAGATACTGTGAAGTTATGTGCCAACTTGTAGATTTTTGACTGGTAGAGGCGATAACCCCAAAGGTTGTGGTTTTATTGCCCTGTGGAACATAACCAATTTTGTCTCTAACCTAGTAATGTTATTTGAACATATTTCTAAAATGCCTCTAAAAACCCATTTCCTTGAAGGCTCTTGGGACCATCCTAACTATCTCCCTGGTTCCATCATAAATGAATTAAGTAAGTTTTTGACACATGTTCATTCTATATTTGTATGCATGGTGTTTATTAACTTTTACAAATTGCATTTTGACCAGCTCATTAGTTAGAATATCATTTATAGCTCTGTTTTATAGTAACGACTGTCACTGAGTGATCTGCAGATTTCACATTCAATACCTTAAATAAAGTTGTCCTTATCTTAAGCCTGTAAAGTAGGTATTATTACCCACATTTTGCAGATAAGAAGACTGCAGCACATAGAGGCTAAAGAGCAATTAATTGATATAACTTACATTTCACCCAAGTTTTTCCTCACTCCACAGCCTAATCATAAAGCTGAATTGCCTTTCTTGGAAAATAAACACTATTGACTTAAGTACAACCCTGTTTAATGGGAAGTTTCAGTCTTAATTTCTGGGTCATAATCCAATTTCCAGGACCTAATATGTGGTGAAAAGAGATATTTATACTCAGACATGTACCCCCTCATGACTAAAATTATACTGTACTTTTCTTCTTTTTTTCCCTTCACAGGTTTAAAGATATTTATAACTTCCCCCTTAGCTGTATGCATATACTGTTTCTCATGTTTGTTACTTTCAGGTGACTTGAAAGATGGTAAAAATAAGACGGAAAAGAAGGATCAATCAAATGTCGGAAATGATTCAAAGAAAACAGATGGTAAGAGCAAAATTCCCATTACATTTTTCAATAAAATGTGCAATTTAATGCAATCTTGTTATAATTACACCTATAATTGAAATTGTGGTTGTTAATATATTCTTATCTTATACCCTGAAAAAACACTTCACTACATTTAAAGAGTACTATTCTCCCTTTTTCAATAATTTACGAATTATTGTTGTCTCTCTTCTCTTCCACCATACTTTCTCCATCACAAATGCATTCTATACCCTTTTTTTTCCCACTTGCCATTTTTCACTTTGAACTTTATAAAAAGTTGATTCTGGACTTGCTGACTATAATGGAATGAAATACGAATCTTTGATAGTGAATTGTGCAGCATAAATGGGAAATGGTCCACGTTTTTCCTTTTCACATTTTTTACCTTTAATAGATTATTACTTTTGGCAAAAACAAAAACAGAAATCTGTTCCGTGTCATCATTATGTTGAGAGGCCTACGTGCTGGGGAACATACATAGCTATAGAATATTGTTTGATCAGCAAGAATAAGTCTTAAAGGCAAGCTTTGAATGACAATCCCAAACCAGTTAGAGTGAACCTGCATTGTAATGCGCTTCATGAGCACTGCTTGTACTTTTCATAAACAGCATTCCACTCTTTCTAAAACCTGAAGATTCAAATTATATTACCTTCTAAACGTTGAGCTATCAGATTGAGAAAACTGCTTTCACCTTTTATATAAATCTGTTTCAGTTGTAACATGGGTTCGTTCCTAGTTATTCCTTCATTCATGTATATAATATTAAACTAAAAATGAAAGTTTCTTGGGAGTGGTTTTTGTTAGAGTCCCAGACTCGCTTTGAATCGTATCTCCCTGGAGACATTGTATTGGATGCTAAGCTGTTTGAATGGTTTGGTTATGATGCCATTGAAGAACAAATGCTGGGTAGTCAGGTCAAGGAATCAGAAGAAATGTGAACACACTCCTCACACATCTGTCAATAGAGGAAACAGCCCCTTTAGCTTTTATCTCTAAACCTTTGTGATATGCTCTCTTTACTCGTATGCATGAAATCCGTTCTCAAACTTTCTTTTAAGATCATTCAAATAATTCACTCCACGTGTCTTATCACATAATATTTGGGTAACACACGTGTAGATTTTCAGGAAATTTTTTATGCCATCAGAAACCACTTACCTAATAAGTATACCCTCTTTGAATGATTGTGACTAAGATGTGAGGTACACAGAGATAAAATAGAATTCAAAATGACAGTCTCTTAGCCAGACTCTGTTAGGGGTAACATTTGTTCAAATACCAGAGGCTTTTTGCCAGATATCGTTCGACCCAAGTCAAGGTACCACAAACAAGAACATATACAGTAGGGGAGAACGATGTTGACTATAACCCCAATACCTGGACACCTGGCCCATCCTATATCCAGTGACTAGCCCATCTGAATTCCTACAGCATAAAAGCCCAGAATAAACTGAATCTCAAATCTTTAGCATGGGGTCTTGAATCTTGCTGAGTTTTGTACTGTGCTGCAAATATCTGTTATAATGTCATGTGGGCATTGTGGATTGAATTTTATTGTCTTCATTAAGTCTTTTTGTTTTGTATTTTTTTAACTGACTTTTCCCCAAGTATTTAAAATAATTAAATAGTTTTGTGGCAAGGGGTGATGAAATAGATATTATGTTCTATTATACAAGTAAGTGTAAAGCTTGATTATTTAACGAGCAGGATTCTTGATCCCATAGGGCAGTGAACAGAATGCAGTAAATAAAGAAGAGATATTTTCTGATGTCTATCCCTTTTTCCCTCCGTAACACCAACCTTCCACTTCTTCAAATGGGGTCTGGTGTGTCCACATACTTGCAAGTTTGTACACAAACTTGGGCATGAACAACTTTGTATTTTAATTTTGTTGATGGACTAACATGACATCAGTCATTATCATTGCTTTGATCTCATCAGGACTTAGATAATTGGGCTTTAGCTACTTGTGCTATCTCTGCCCCAAATCTTTCCTAGAACTAAAGGTAATTCTTGGTTACATGAAGTGGAAAAGAATTTGATCAGTCTCACCTACCCCTTCCCACCGTGGTCGTTAAAACTCTTTATTTTAGAAAATTTTTAAAAGGATATATATGCAGATCTGTGGATATATTGATTTTTAAAAACTAGGAACAACCAGAGGCACATTTTGAGCATTTCTTTTTAATGGATCCTATTACATCTTATGACCAGAGGGAGTCAATTTAACTGTTTTTAATGTCCTTACCTCTGATCCAACCATTGGGAACCAGTGGTGACCAGCTCTGTCTAATTTTTGAGAGGGAATATCCAAACATAATTCAGTGCCCAGTGTGATCAAACCCACTATGGTTTTAAGTTTCAACATTGTATGCATTCAGAAAGAAACCCATTGGAAACTGGACCGCAGTTGGTTATTCTCAAACACAAATGAGCTTAGGCAGGCATAGAGGGAAGGAGCATGTGCTGAAGAGTAAATTATATTCTGGCATAATGAACACATTGCAGTTGTACATTATCTCTGTCAGGCTACTGAGGTACTCTTTGGTACCTGCAGCACTAATTTTCTAACTGACTTCAAAGAATGAATGTCCTTTGAAAATACCTTGTTTACTCTTAGGGAGAAATGTACTAACATGAAAAGATTGGGTCTGTGAGCCAAGAGTCTCTCAGGGCCTAGACTTTTATTGCGTCATTGGGAGACTTATGGGGTACCATATTAAAGATCATTTTCAGTGTGTTTAGTCATGTTTGAAACAGTATAACCTCTTGGGCATGCCGTAATTTTTTTATAGTTGTCCAGAAGTATGAACTTGTCCTTAACTTTACTTGACTACATTAGCAGAGATATAAGAGATAGCCACTGTTTGTGTCACTCAAAAGATTGATTATAATTAGGCCCTGCAGGGTTATTTGCCAAGTCCCAGGAAGGGAGTTCAGCAGGAACTTCTCCTTCATTGAATGTTCTGGGAATTGGGTTGTATAAAGATTTTGGTTCATAAAATTTAAAAGTCAGTCGTGAAGAGTGGAAAGAGTGGGCAAAAGACAATGTATGGGACATCTGCTTCTGCCAAAGAGGATTAACAAGAATTAGATTTAGCCATCCACCTGAAACAACAAACAGAAAAGACAAGATGTGTGGAGGAATAGTTTTCAAGATACGGGACATCAAGAAATGAAGGACAGTGATCTCTGAGAGACAGGAAACCAATGAAGTGAGCCCTACAACTGCCCCAGCTTGCTGCCTTAAGAGGGTTCCCAGGCAGCAGAGGGAGGGGAAACCCAGGCAAACCTGATGGACTCCTTGAGTTTAGGAGTTGAATAAGGATCCAGGGAGACCAAGGTGGCTAGAGTTAACAGGATAAAGTACCAGAGAGGAGAAAGCTGCAGGGAGATAAATATCCAGAGATCTTAAGAGTGTTCTTCAGAGTACTGATTGACCCATACAATGAGGAAACTACGTGAGACCAGGAAAGGACCACTAGAGGGAATAATCCAGATGTTCACACTTCACACAGGACAATAAAACTGCCTATTCCCACCAGCCAGACTTGAATACTTCATAATTTAAAAGAAATTGGGTAGAATACTCATATTATCTTGCCTTAGTAGTAAGGAATAATTAGCTTAGGCTAAATGCTGCTTTTGTCCCACCTAACAAATCTTAAAAGCAAGACATAAAAAGATCAAAGTGTTTCCATGTAACTGCATCCCAAAATAAATCTCACACATATATATATGAATACAGAAGTATCCAGTACCTTCACAGTGTCTAACATCGAACCAAGAATTACTGGAAATGCAAAGAAGCAAGAAAATACTATTCAATAAAAGGAAAAAACCAACCAATTGAAACTAACCCAGAACTGAGATAGATGTCAAAATTAGCAGAGGAAAATGTTAAAGCAGTCTGATAACTGCAGTCCGTATATTTGGAAGTTGAATAAAGTTGAATAGAAACATAAAAGATATGAAAAAGACAGAATAAAACTTATAGAGATAAAAACTATAATATCTGATATGAAAAATACACTGGGTGGTATTAAGCAAATAACATTGTCCAGGATTAATGATAAATACACTGGATGAGATTAGACGTTGTAGAAGAAAAGAGTAGAGAAAAATTAGCAATAGAAACTACTCAAAATGAAACACAGAAAAAAAGACCAGAAATTATTGTAAAGAGCATCAGTGAGTTTTAGGACACCTTTAAGCGGCCTAATGTATATGTAATGGGAGTCTGTAAAGTAAAGAAGAGAGAGAGGAGGAAAGAAAAATATTTGATGAAATAATGACTAAAACTTTGCCAAATCATGAAAACTGTAAATCCATAGACTCAAGAATCTCAATAATGCACAAGCACAAGAAATATGAAGAAAATTACACCAAAGCATATCGTAATCAAATTACTCAAAACCAGTGATGGAGAGAAAAAAATTACAATAGCTAGAGAAAAAACCCACACATATGTATAGATGAACAAAGATTAGGGTAGCCATAGATTTCTCATCAGCACCAATGCAAGTGAGAAGACAGCAGAGCAACATCTTTAAAGTGCTTAAAAAAAATTTCAACTAAGAATTCTATACCCAGCAAAAATATCTTTCAGATATAAAAGCTGAAAGAATTCAGCACCAGTAGACTCACGCTACAAGAAATGTTAAAGAAAGGCAGAAGGATAACTATGCCAGATGGAAAAAAGGATCTGCACAAAGGAATTAGGAGCACTAAAAATGGTAACTAGATGGCTAACTGTACAAGATTTTTTCTTATTATTTAAATCTCTTAAAGATAATTGACTGAACAAAATATTATATTGTTGTGTTTATAACATATAAAAATGTATGACAACAATAGCACAAAAGATGGAGGGGAGAAATGGAAGAATACTATTGTAAAGTTCTAATATTATACCTGAAGTGGTATAATATCATTTTCAGGTAAATTAAAATAAATTAAGAGCATGTACTGTAAACTCTAGAGCAATTACTGAA